GGGCAGGAAGGAGCAGGTCGACGGCGACAGCTCGGCCAGGACACGCAGCGCTTCGTCGAGCCGACGATCCTTTGTCCACCGCCCACGCAGCGATGGCGGGATCTCGCTCACCTGGGAAAACTGCACACAACACAACACACGCAATCAACGAATGCACCCACCCACCGTATCGTCTGGCCTGGCTGTTGTTGGTGTGCCCTGCCCGTGCCGTGCTTCCACACCTACCTTGACTTGTATGTGCGATCGGTGCAGCCGCAGCGAGCCGAGGTCCAGCTCAGCAAAGCCGGCGAAGCCCTTGGAGTACCACGACCCCACCACCACCCGCCCGTTGTTGCGCGTCACCCTCAGCGCAGCGTCCAGCGCTGTCGGCCGCCCACTCACCTCTATCACACAGTCGAAGGGGCTGGGTGGGTCGTGGGCAGAAGAAGGGGCCAGCACCGCAGACGCACCGGCCTCTCTGGCGAGACGGCGCCTTTGCTCGGAGGGGTCGATGGCCGTCACGTGCCAGCGTTGGCGAGCCAGCAGATAGGTCACCAGCAGGCCTATCAGGCCCTGGCCAAACACCGCCACCTGCTCACCTGCAAGACATCCACACACACACCCATATAGATGCCAGGACCACCCTCTAGTCTCAATAGATCTCTCTCCTCATTGCCCACCCACCTGGCACTGGATTGGCATCCTGCAGTAGCGAGAGTGCGGTCTCCATTGCCGGCAGGAAGATGGCGTCGTCCACGGGCACGTCAGCGGGCAGGCGTGTGCACGACGACAGCGGCACGATCGCCCTCTCCTCGTGAGAGTGAAACGCAAAGACCTTCTGGCCCAGCCACGACAAGCGGTCCACGCCAGAGCCACACCTGACGCATTTGCCGGCGAGGGAGTAGCCGTATGTGAGTGGATATCTGAGCGGTGTGGCCGTCATGCCCTCGATGGATGTGTCCAGCGGCTCGCCGTCGATGAAGTCGCCCTGGTAGACCTTGAGCTCCGTCCCGCTGCTGATCAACGAGTAGGCCGACTCCACCTCCACCTGCAGGCAGGCAGCCATCGCATCCACGCACCAAATGTGTGGTGGTGGAGTGCAATGTGTTAGTGAGTTATGGGTTTGTGGGTGGCGGGCGGGGCTTACGTACGTGTCCTGGCGGCACTTTGATGGCTTGGGGCCGGTCTCTGATCTCTACTCGCGAGGGGCCGCTGAAGACCACCTGGCGGCTGGGAAAGGCAGCCGCCACATCTGAGTACACACACACACACACACACACATGGGTTCACAGGCGTGTGAGCGTCTGTCTATCCATCACATACAGACATATCGGCGGGCAGTGTGCCGAGAATGTCGACGTTTTTGACCTTCAGTGTGGAGTGTTTGTCGGTGTGGTGCTTGACCCATGCTGGCAGGTCCCAGTGGGGCAGCAGCTGGCAGCTCCTGAGCGCACCCATGGCCAGGAACGACATCAGACACTGCCACATGTACTGATGGTCCGCGCACGGCACCGACCACTCCGACGCACCTAAACGAATCACACACACACCCACATGGCTGTCCATCCATCCATCCATCCAGGTGACCTCACCCTGCATCATGATTTGCCCTTTTCGCGATTCGATGGCCCTGAGCAGCTTGGAGGGGTCGGTCGATTGGCCCTCTCTCCTCAGGTGCTCGTGGTACAGACTCACCACCTGCCGGTCGGTCGGCAGCGCCCCGCCGCCGAAGAACGGCGGGTCAAATGTCGTCCTGCCGGCGTAGGTAATCGGCATGTACAAGAGCGCCCCTGCACACACACACACACACACTCGTGCATATGTGTAGACAGCCGTCTGTGGCAGGGCAGGGCAGGGTCCCTACACACCTGGTGCGATCCTAGTGAGGTGGTTGATGAGGACGTCCTGGTCCATCAGGTCGGCGAAGGAGCAGCCCAAGACGACGTCGAAGCCGTGCTGCCCATCAGCCGTGTCCAGAAGGTCGCCCTCCACCAGCACCAGGTATATACCGCCGCCGCCCCGGTCGGCCTTGCGGTAGACGCGCTCCCGAGGATGGAAGCCGAAGCTCTCATCGACCTCCTCGAACCCCATCAGCTCGGTGGCACTCTCGCGGTTGGCCTGACAGACAGACACAGCCAGAGAGCATAGCATGCCAGTGTCTGTCGCTTGCAGGCTTGTGTGTGGTCTCTCTCGTTGTCTGTCTGACCTGCATGACGGCGCGTGAGGTGTCGATGGCCACGTAGACGAGTGCGTCGCCCCGGCCCTTCCACTGATGCCCCTCCCATAGGCCCAGCACCCTCACCAGCATGCCCAGCCTCCCCGCCCCCACATCCAGCACCCTCACGCCGCAATCCCTCGGCTCCTTCTCGCGGAACCTCGCCACGAAGGCCTCCCACGTGTCTTCATTGAAGGCGTGGCAGTCGATGGCCTTTTTGGCGGAGAGGTAAGCGAGCGGGTCGAACTGGAAGGTGGATTGGGGCGGGGCGCACTTGATGAGTGACGCTAGGGACTGCTCGAGGGTGGATGGAGAGGTGGGGAGAGGGGCCAGGGACACGCCTGAAACAACAGGACGATGTGCGTTTGTCTGTCTGTCCGAGTGGGTGGTTACCTTTGATGGCATGTGAGATGGCCTGCACGCTGCTGTCGATGACTTCAGGGTCATCAATCACCACCAGCTCCTTCTCCCCCCCTCCTAGCTCCTTCCACGCGTCCCGCAGCCTCTCATACTGAGGCCCCCTGCCGCCCTCGCCGATAAACGCCTCACCCCCCACCATTGGCACGCCCCCCCTCTCCGGCATCACAATGCGCGACACCATCGAAGATGGCAAACACCGTGAGTAGAAGAGCATGTGCCCTGGGGAGGTCCACCGCAGGAGGTCCCTGATCCACCTCGGCGTGGCGCCTTCGCTCGCCATGTGCTGCCACCCTGTCGGCGTAGTGCTTTCCTTCCGGCCGTCCCTGTCGTCTGTCTGCCCGCTGACTCGCGCAGTCTCCTTGTTGAGGAGGTATGCCGTGAGCTCCTTCTCGATCGCCGCCCAGCCGCCCCTCTCCTTGCTGTCGAGACACCGCCGCACAATGGCCTTCACCTCAGCCGACGCGATCAGGTCCACATTGAAGGCGATCGGTGGCAGGAGGGCGGCAGCTGATTGGGGGGTGTCCAGCGGGCCCTCAAATGAGGCGGACGTGGCGAGTGGGTCGGGGCCGTCGGAGACGGTGATGGTGAGCGACGAGAGGGGCTCCGGAGGGCTCTGTCGGTCTGCTGGCGGAAGACTCAGATATGCGGAACGGACTCTCTCCCACAGATAGCGTGACAACTGCAGCCAGCAACAGAGGAGGAAACGCATTCATGGAGGGGAGGGAATGCAATCGCGCCTGTCTGCCTGCCTGCCTGCCTGCCTGCCTGCCTGGCCTTTGCTCGCTGACTGACCATTTCCAGCGTCCAGTTCTCCCCCTTCATGGCTTCGATCTCCTCCAAGTTGCGGTAGGCCAGCCCCCCCACCGCCTCACCCAGCAAAGCCTGACACATCCCAATATCGACCAGGAAGTTCTCGGGCTCGCGCAGCCGGGGGCCCTTGAAGGTCATGTCCACCAGCAGCGTCGCGCCGTGCAGGTCCTCCGCCCCGTCGAGCCTCCGGGCTATCATGCACCGGTCCCTCACGGTGACAGAGAAGTGGCCGAGGTGTGCGGGGGGCGGGGCGGGGTCGGTGGGGCCCTCGAAGGAGCATGACGCGATGTCCGACTCGTGAACGATGATCTTGAGGCGTTTCTTGTTTTTCGGGGGGGATGGGGGAGTTTCTGCAGCTCCGTCTTCCAGGCGTTCCGGGCGAAAGTTCACTGCCATGTCTTCCCAGAGCTTGAAGGCGATCCACTCGATGGTCGTGTTGGCTCCCTGGGTCCAAGGGGATGTGTCGAGGTTCTGTACACATGAACATGCAAACAACGGACAGAGATGACCCTACACTGTACATGTAGCACACGTGTCGCTGACCCACCTGATTTTCGAAGGGCTTCAGCGCGTCAATCAATGCCTTTGCAAGGTCCCTTTCGTCGAGATGATGGTAGAGCCACGCCTCCACCAGAATCGTGGCGCCGTGCATTCTCTGCGCCGGGCCGAATGACTTGCCGCGGAAAGAATGCGCCAGCATGGCCGTCTCACACACTCGGGCCGGGTCTCGCTCCTCATCCCATGGGTAAGCGGGCGAATGTGCGAAGCCGTAAAAGGAATAAGAGTCACGCAGGCCGAGGCGCATGTCGTCCACCGGATCACCTGCCTCCACCTTCGACAGCAGGTACTTGCGGAAGGCGGGCAGATTGCCAGATAACTCTGTCGCGTGCTTGCACCACTCCTTGATGCGGCAGGCCTCTTTGAGCGCTGAGCTCTTCACCAGATGACCATCTGCTCGCAGCGTGGAGGACGTCACGGACGCGGTAAGCAGGTTAACCGCCCCGTGTAAGAAGCCGTAGAAGTCGCCCTGCAAGGCGTCGCCGTGAAGGGGCCTTCTGATGGTCAGGGTGTAGGTGCTGAAGGCGCGGGAGAGTCCCCTGGACGCCACACATCTCGGACGAACCAGCGCCGTCATTCCGTGAGTCGGCGATGAGTCAATCGGCTCCATTGCCGAGAGATTTGCCTCTGTTTTGCTACCACGAGGCGGGACGAACACATTCCGGACAGGTCTAAGGCAGATCTGCGCGTTTTGCCGCCTGCGGGGTTCCAAACCCTGCGAGCTCAGACGTGCAGTAGGGAAGTGGCCGTCCCGATGGCATCAGAAGTGAACGGGCATCCATCTTCGTCAGAAAACGGCGTTGGAGGCGGCGGCGAGGTATATCTGGTGACGGGAGGGAGCGGGCTGCTGGGCCAGGCGCTCAAACGGGTCGTCGAGGCCAGCGAGGGTGGCGCAGCAAAGGGCAGCAGCAAGTGGGTATTCCTGTCGAGCAAAGATGCCGACCTGCGGTGCGCGAAAGATCTGGCGAAAGAGATGAGATGAGATGAGATGAGAAGGAATGTCATCCACTGTTCTCTGTGTGTATGTGTGTGCAGAGACTATGAGTCGTCTCGTCGTTTGTTCGACAAGCATCGACCGACGCATGTGGTGCATCTGGCCGCCAAGGTTGGCGGCCTTTTCGCAAACATGGCAGACCAGGTCAGTGAGGTCAACCAATCAACTCAGCTCCACGCCAACCTTGCACAGGCTTGTGGTTGCCATGTGTGTGTGCCAGGTGGGGTTCTTCCGGCAGAACATGCAGATGAATGACAACATCGTCTCACTCTGTCATGACTACAAAGTTAGCACACACGCACAAACAAACAGATATCCATCCCGTTATGGACGGGCGGATCGATGGATGGATTGCGTGTTGTGTGTGTCGTGTCGTGTCGTGTCAGGTGAAGCGTGCTATCTTCTGCCTGTCGACGTGCGTCTTCCCGCCATCAGCGCCCATGCCGCTCACCGAGGACTCGCTGCAGTCAGCACAGCACAGCACAGCACACACAGAGGGCTGGGTGTGGCATGTGATGGATGTGAAGGATGGGTGGTGTGCGTGTGGTTGACTGACTTGTGACTCAGTTCCGCCCCTCCCCACCCGTCCAATGAGGGCTATGCCAATGCCAAACGGATGCTCGAGTGCCTCGCCAGGTCACACACAAAGAAAGATAAACACACCTGCCTGACTGCCTGCCACTTCCTCTCACACACGTGTTGCTGTGTTGCAGATATTACCGTCAGCAGTACAATGACGAATTCGTCTGCATCATCCCCACCAACCTATACGGACCCAACGACAACTTCAACCTCGAGGTGGCTGGGCCTCATGGCACTTAACGCCACGGGCGCTTAAGCCACCGCATGTTGTGTGTGTGTGCCGTGTGCCGTGTGTGTGTGTGTATGTAGGAGGCGCATGTGATCCCTGCGTTGATCCACAAGTGTTACCTGGCGCAGCAGGACAACCAGCCGTTCGTCGTGAGCGGATCGGGCAAACCGCTGCGGCAGTTCCTGTACTCGGACGACTGTGCGGTGAGGGAGCCCATCCTTAGACACACAGTGACGGAGAGATGGTTCCTTTCGTGTGTGTCGTGTGTGCAGCGGATCATTTACGAGCTGCTGCGCACAAGTTCCGAGAAACTCACCTTCAACTCCATGATGTGTGTCGGGGACACCGGTACGTCTGTCTGTCTGCATGGGCATGGCGCACGCACACCACGGACGGACACGGCAACATGGGCAGCTCAGCTGTTTGTCTGTCTGTCTGTCTGTCTGTGTGTCTGCCACACACTTGTCCATCAGAGCATTCGATCAAGCAGGTGGCTGACGCCATCGTGTCGGCCATGGAGTTCAAGGGCGAGGTCAAGGTGAGCAAAGCGATACAACAGCATCGATTACACGGGCGGGCGGGCGGGCGGGCGGGTATCCTCCACATCATCCTTTGTGTGTCTCCGTCCCTCACTCCCTCTCAGTACGACACGTCAAAAGCAGACGGCGTCTACAAGAAGGTACCTAGAAGCGGACCTGCCTACCTAACGAAAGAAAGACCGAGTCTGGACCCTTTTCTTCATGTATTTATTTGTCTGTGTGTGATTGGTGTGTCGGTCGGTCAATCAGACTGCGTCCAACGCTATCCTGCGGGGGTTCATGCCCAAGGACTTCACACCCATCCCGCTCGAGGAAGGTGCGCAACCGATAGACAGACGGCAATATCATATGATGGCCGGAGGGATGGGCACGCCGACCGGAACCACCTGTGTGTGTGTCGTGTGTGTCATGGCTGCTGTCTCTCTCAGGCATCCGCCGGGCAGTGGTGTGGTTCAAGGACAACTTCGACAAGGCCAGGAGGTAGAGACGGTGGATGGATGGATGGATGGACGGAAGAATTCAGTCTCTCCCTACGGTCCGGCCCACGTGTGATTAGCCTCTCTGTGTGTAGCTTAGCTCCGGCCAGCCGGCCCGGCCTAGTAGTGGTGGAGTGTGTGTGCACGTGTGCCATGCAGCAATTACAAGGGAAAGGGAGATGCCTAGCTAGGCAGATAGATAGGGCTGCCAGGGAGTAGGGAGGGAGGGAGAGAGGATGGCTCACCTATGCGTTAGTTTATCGGTATCGCTCACTGACTGACTGACACGTGAGTAGAGAGAGGACCGACAGACAGACGATGGCTGCCGGTGGACTGGACACCACGAGAGAACAAATGAGTCAGTCAACCTCTAGCACGGGCCACACAGACGGTGTTAACACATCACACACAGAGGACACCTCTTCCACACGCACCAACCACACACACACCACCACACGCAGCGCACATCATGGCCTCGTTGTCTTCTTGACGGCTTCGGCCACCTTGCTCCTGACCATCCTGAGGTTGGCAGGCTTGACACGCTGGTCGGGCAGCAGCTTGTCTGTCCCCTTGCTGGTGGCTTCCTGCCACCGGCGCAGAACCACCCCCAAAGACAAGATGGACTGACCCCTGAGATATGACACACATACACCAGGGAGGTGACTGGCGCCGCTTCTGCACGCGTGTGTGTGTCGGTGGTTATCTGCTCACTTGGACTCTTCGGGCAGGCGATACTCATCAGGACACATGAGGCGGACCCACGCCTGGCCGACAGAACCATGGTATGTACGGGTGAGTACGTCAGTCAGTGTCTCTCTCAATGGAATGTGACTAAGTAAGTCCTTCACCTGCTTGTCGAGATATCGTCTCAGAATGTTGTGCTGCAGCCGGCTCCGCAGTATCTCACCCATCGTGGGCTTCAATGGAATGGAAAGAACGAAAAGTGCGAGAGACGTCAATGAAGCCTCTCTCCCCCCCGGCTCACCTTGTCTCTCTGCGATGCCTGCTGCTGTGTCTCCTCCGCAACGCTTTGCACATCCGCCATGAGCCTGTCGGCCTCGTGCTTGGTCGGCCGGGGGTCGGGCGGTCTCCTGCCGCCATTCTTCTCAGCCTCTGCGGCGGCAACCTGGTCGGTGTAGGTGCTGCTGATGTCCTCCCTCCTCTCCCACTCCAATGAACGGGCGAGCCGGGAGTGCAAGAAGATGTCGATCAGGAGATCCTGTGCGGCCCACACACACACACACGCACACACGCACACACAGAGAGAGAGAGAGGCAGAGATTCGTTGTGGGTGGATGGGCATCAGCCAGCTGGCGTACTACCTGCCAGTAGAGGCGCCCGATAGTCTGGTATTTCCTCGGCCCCGCCCATTCGCCATTTGGTGACTTTGTGACTTGGTAGCAGGGCGGGCAGCACCTGCACCGGGCGATGTGCTCGTTCTGCCGCAGCCACGTCTCATAGTAGGTGTAGTCATAGCGCATTGGCGCCTCAGACCGCTGCGGCTCGCCGTAACGCACTGACCACCTTAGTCCCTTCTGATGATCACCCATTTCATCAACAAGCCCCTCGTGGTGGTGGTGGTGGTGGTCCTGCTGCTGCTGTGGCTGTGGCTGTTGTGCCTTTGCGGACTTCAGGCGAGACCAGCGTTGGTCGGTTTGCCGTTGCATGAAGAGACACGCTGTGTGTGGGCGGGAAGGTGCGGATGTCTGCTGGATTGCGAGTGGTGCCGGAGTGGTGCGTCTGGGTGAGGGGAGGGAGGGGGGGAACAGAGGCTCGTGGCTCTCGTCGTCTTGGAAGAGCGTCGTGTTGCCGGTGGTCAACCTGAGGGACTCGCGCGGTTCTCCTGCATAGTACTGCCAATACCTCATGCGCCGCTTCAATCGCTGGTCCAGCGTGCCCTGCAGCACAGCACAGCATAGCACAGCACAGCACACACCTGTCTGTCGTCTCATGGTCTGATGCATACCAGAAACCCACCCACCCACCCACCATCACGTCACGTCTGCAGCCTACCTTTCTTATCCTTCGGCTCGTCTTGTCCGCCCTCATCCTCTCCCTCGTCAGCCTCGACGCCTCCCGCCTCTTCACTCTCTCCTTCAACGCCTCCTCGCGAATGATCCGCTCCATCGCTGCGTCATCCACATGAGCCTGCTGCTGCTGGTGCTCTCTGTCGCTGTCTCCCGAAGAAGAGCGATCGTCTTCATCATCATCAGTGGTAGAGGGGCTGGTTGAGCTGACGGGCATGAGAAAGGTGTGGGCGTAGTGGCGCCGCGGGTGGGTGAACTTGTCGAAGTGCGCCAGGTGCTCGAGTGAGTGGAGGGGCGGGGGAGCGATGGGCCGTGGTTGTGGCTTCTGCGGCGGTGGCTGGGACACTGCAGCCGTTTCTTCGCCTTTCTCTCGCGTGCGGCCGGTGGGCATGGCTGCACACGTGGGCTTGACGGCTGATGGATGGCCGCAGCAGGGGGACGAAGAGAAGACGCGTGGGTGCAAGTATCCATCCATCCATCCATTCCTTACTTCCTTACCTTCTTTCTGTGTCTCGTCGTCAATATCATCCATTTTGCCCGTTTGTACTGTATGCGGCCCGACCACCTTCCCCCTGAACGCTCGTCTCGGCGCCGCCGCAGACTTCTTCGCAACACCGCCACTGATAACCTTCACCGCTTCCTTGTCCTTTGCGGCCGCCACTGGCTGCTTGCCCTTCATGGTCTTGCCTTTGTCTGTTTTCCTCTCTGTGGTCGGTGCCTTTGCGTCCGCCTGGTCCTCTTGGCGATCGATGGCTTGTCTCATGAGCAGCTGACGGAGGTGAGAGTTCTTGCGCGTTAGCATCTGGGGGAGTGAGAGGGACGGATGCACACATCTATCTTGTCAGCCAGAATCGCATTGCTCTGGTGTGTTGTCACCCACCCACCGGTTTGTGTCTCGGGCTTTGGGGAGGTGAGGGGTGGTGTACTGGGCATGTTGAGGAGGCCCGGCCGGTGGGAAGACTGGCACTCGGACGGAGAAAGAAATCGATCACGTCCTCCCCTGCACACAGACAGATGTCAGTCGTGCACACTGCACTGGTGTATGGATGTCTCGTGCTGCTTCCATTGCCGACGTACCGGTGATGAGCCCGTCCTGGTCGGTGTCGATGAGGTGGAAGAGGTGAAGGTAAAAGCGTCGCAGCGAGTCGGGGAGGTTTTTCCGCTGCTGGATCTTCTTGCGTATTGTGGTCCATGCGCTGTTGGCCTGCGCCTGCCGCACCCAGTGGAGCATCTCGTCTATCTCTTTCTTCGTCGCACCTGGATGCATCCACAGACAACACAGCACAGCACACAATAGTGTGTGGGTGTGCGTGGGTGTGAGTGAGTGGGAAACAGCCTCTGTCTGTCTGTCTGTCTGTCTGTCTGTTTGTCTGTCTGACTTGGGCATAGACAGCGGAGGTAGGATGAGAAGGTGAATCTGTTGTCCTGCAGCTCCTCTGCAAGTGCATCTGACGCAAAGATGAACGCCACTTGATCGGAATCAACACGCCGACCGATGTCCTGCAAGAAAGAAAGGCAAATCCGATATATCGATGGCCATCCGGCAAGCATTGCAATCATGGCATACAGAGTGCCCGCCCACAGGACTAACTCACCCCTGGCCGTCTGCCCCTGGTTTCGTGTGTGGCCAGTGCTCGGACAAGCTCGTCCATCCCAATGACGCCGTCCTTGTCGACATCCATGGCGCAGAAGCACTCGTACGCATAAAGGGTGTCCACCCTGCTCAGACGCATCTTACCCCCTCCACCGCTCTTGCGCATCTCACAGGGGTGCGAGGGAGGAAGGAAGGGAGACACACACGCACACACACGAGCACACGCCATCCGCACCAATAAATACCTCGATCGGCCCTGCCTGGTACACACACATACTGTCTGTCGTTTCTTGGAGGGTGCTGACGCGGCCTTCTTCGGCTGAGGTCGCTTGGCCAGAGGGTCGGCCCCGAGGTAGGTCCCGCACTTGGTGAAGACGCCGAACCGATGGTAGGTGCTGGGCGCTGATCACCAACAGACAGACAGACACCGACACTTCAGACATTCAATCTCCTATGGCTGGCTGCCCGGCGTGCCGTGCTTACGTACGTCGCTCGAATTGCCCCGCTGCGGGATCGACCCCGAGTGCGTGGACGTGCCTCTTGAGGTAGCGCTGCAAGTTGTCAAACCAGGGGCGATCAGTCGCAGCCTCAAGAGCCCTCGACACGTCCTGAGGCAGACAGACAGAGAAGGAGAGGGAGAGGGAGAGAGCCCCCAAAGTCACCATGCATGGTACGTATACACTTGCATGTAGGATGGACCACCCCACCCGGAGCGATGACGAACACCGCCTTCTCTCTGCCCCTCCCTCTTGCTGCTGCTGCTGCCCCTGGTCGTCTGCATCGTATGTCTTCCTTGCCACATGGCCAATGAGGTCACTCGATCGCGGCGACAGCGATGCCGTCGCAACGGACTCGGCCTTTGTCTCCTCTCCAGCACTAATCTCATGTTCGTCGACCTTCACCCTGAGCTTCCTTTTCCTATGCGGAGCGGCGCCTTCTGACGGGTGTGGCGCTGTAGACGGCCGCTGTGATGGCGGGAGGGGGAGAGAGGGTGACGGTGAGGGGCTGCTGGGGGCACAGGAAGCTGACGACTGCACACACAGACGAGAGAGGGATACATGTGTGCATCAATGGGTGTGCTGTGTTGTTTGTGCTTTATCGGTTTCCCACCCCGGAGTAGGTCATCGAGAGGCTTGACTCCGACAGGAGTCTCATCCCATGTGGCGAAGGGGCCATGGTGGTTGCCGTCACAGGACGGCTCACCCACGCACCGCCCACATCGAAATCCACACCCACGCTGGAGCTCGATGACGACGGACGCGACTGTGTCTGTGTCTGCGTCTCCTTCTTGCCCGCGGTGCTGGTGCGCGGCGTCCAGGACTTCAATCTCAGATACACACTCTGAGCGTCCCTCATTCTGCTCGCCTCTTCCTCGTTGCTGCCTTCGTCCTGCACGCCTCTCGACAGCGCCTCAGGGACGGATGTGAGGAACAAGGACGGCTGGCGGCTCTGTTGCTGGTCCTGTGGATCGTCCTGCTCCCGCTGCTCGCCATGTATGCCGAGGACGCTCACCGGCCGCACAGATCTGTCCGACCGCCTCTGGCGGTGTTGGAAGAGCTGAAGGGGGTCCCCCTCACGGCCCGTTGGGGTGGCCGGGACACTTCGGCATGTGGGTCCTGCTGCTGTCCGTGGGGGAAGGGGTGAGTGGAGTGCCACCATGGCGGGTGCATGTGGCTTATGTCTCATCAGTGAAGGGTCTTGCAGGAGGGCCGGCCAGTGCCGCAGCAGGACGTACTGGTCGTGCCTCGGCGTCATGGGACAGTGGACCTGCAAAGGACGGACTGTGTGTAGATATCGATTCTTTGTGATTCTACTGACGTACCTTGAGAAAAGCCCGGATGTCGGGATCATCCTCCGCCCATGTCTCAAAATCCCCCAGCGACACCGTGCCGCCTGCAAGTGGGCGAAGCAAGCATCCTCCTGTGGCCTTTGTCGTGTTTCCCGACATCTCACCATGTGTCCTGGAGCTGAGCATGGCGTTAAAGGCATCGCTGGCACACAGTTGAGCCTCCCATGGTGACGGCTGCGGCACCCCACAGTACCGACTCACACCTGATTGTGTGTGCATGACGACCAGGAGGTTGCTTACATCCATCCCACCTTATGTGTCCACTTTTCAGCTCACCTCTGAGGCAGCACTGTATGAGGCACTGTATCTCTTCAAAGGTCAGCTCGCCGCTTGTCGGCCACAGCCCCTCCCCCCCTTGTCCGTGCTCATCTTCGCCCTCCGCCCTTTTCGCCGCGTCGAAGAAGTCAAAGAGGAGCCGGAACTTGGCCTTGCGATGGGTCTTCGATAGCAAACACGACGTTAGAAAGACCTGTCATCACACACACCACAGAAAAACTTGAATGCCCTAACGAGGTTCGGCTTGATGCGTTGTCTTGCTCATGGCGCGCCCACCTCCCACGTGTCGACCATGTTTGGCTCTCTGTGTGGGGAAGACTGGGGCGCGTCTCGGGGAGAGGTCTGCAGTGATCTGGGTGAGGCGCCGCTGCCCCTTCTGCCATCGGGAGTGGCGAATAAAGAGAACAGTGGCCGCCACTCACTCCCAGCTGCCTTTCGTGGCGACACACTACTGTCATGTTTGCCACTGCTGCCGGGGCGGAGGGCGAGATTGAGGACCTGCTGGAAGAGCCGAAGGTTGCAGTATCGCATATGGCAGAGCTGAATCAGTGCCAAGCTGAAGGAGCAGATGGCATCGAGTGCCAGGTTGGTGATGGGGGACGTTGCGGGCGTCGGCTCGCGGGGCTGCAGCACCTGCGGGCCTAGGGGGAAGGCGCTGCCACTGTTGCCCATTGCAAGAACTCCTTTGAGGCGTGTTTGAGGCAAGTTCTCCCTTCGGTTCTCTCACTTGGCCCCAGAGGGCGGCCCCCGCATGAGGAGCCATCATTCGGTGTTGCCGTATGCAAGCAAAAGCATGGGAGTTCGAGCAGTCACCACGGACGGTCAAAAGTGCAGAAGACGGCCTACGATAGACAGACAACCGCATGCAGACGACTCTGGTCCGGCCAGCCAGCCGGCCACGCAGTGAGTGAGGGAGCGAATCAAAAGCGAGAGGTCCGCTGGAAGGCGTGGGGTGACTCGGACCTGCAGGACATGCATGAAGGCCACAACAAACAAACAATGACACACGTCATCCATCAACAGGATCTGAAAGAGGTCACACCGTGGGTTGTCTCTTGCCTGAGGTTTGACTTCTGAAGGACGACCGAGGGCATTGGATTGGCATAGTCCTGCAAATGAGGCGACCTAACACACACACACACACACACATACACACACGTACACACACATAAGGCCAGGCCTTCAAGCCATCCCATTGTCATTTAGTGCCGGCATGGAGTGCACTGGCTGACCTCCATGGTGGCGGGACGTCGCCGGCGGCCTCTTCACCCTCAACCACGCCCCTCTTCCGCACTTGGACGGGCGGCGCAGGCGACTCCATGTACGCGGGGTACTTGGACAGCGTCGCAAGCTTTCCCTGCCATACCATACACACACACATGTACATGTGTGTACGTGTTGTGCCTGGGCGGGGCGGAGTGTGTCTGCACTGCACTGCATAGCTACGAACCCTTTTGGAGGGGTTGACGGGAATGAAGGGGCGGTCGTGCTTGATGGTGAAGGGGTAATGCGGCTCGGTGTACGGGCGCTGACACAGACAGAGGGATACAGAGAGAGAGGGGTAGAGACCAACAAGCGAAGAAAGAAGGTCTTGGATGTTTCTGCGTGTGCGTGTGCGATGGAAGAGAGAGAGAGGGAGAGTGCTGTGCTGTGTCTTGATTACCTACCGGTATGCCACAGGGCTCATCGTGCCGGTATAGATCGCTATTCTTGGTGAAGTTGACGCCAGCTGCACACACAGACAAGGGAGGGAGGGCAGAGGCGCGTAAATAAGACTGCACAGGCTGCGTGCATTCTATACATATATTGCATCCTCACTCACTTGCACACATGGACTTGAAGGGCGGTATGTCCTTGGTCTTCTCTTTCTGCGCCTTGAGCTCCGCAAGCCTGCAAATCCAATTAATTCGGACACAGACAGACAGATGCAGAGAGACGCCTGATGGCGTCTGATGTACATCCTTGCCTTCCTACCGTTGCCATCGCCTTGTCTCATAGTCTTCTGGGACGTGCTCGGGCAACTTGGAAAACAGCACACCGGGCACAAGGGTCCCGCCACCGCCCTTCTTGGCTGGACTGGTGAACACACCTCGGGGAACTGACGGTACGGCAAGGGTATAGGGCAAGATGGCATGACGACGGCAAATGGGTAGTTTGTTGTTGCGGGCGTCAGTCACCATTTGCCCCCCTGCCCACCGGTGTATTCCTTGTATTTTGCGTAGAGGTCTTTGGGGTCCGGGGCTGTCGACCCTTGATAAACATACGGGAAGTCCAGCTTGTTCAAGCTGAAGCAAACAGGCAAAGAGGCAAAGAGGCAATACGTCCGTCATGATGGGCCTCTCATGTCACGTCACTCACCTGCGCCTAATGTTGCCTCCAGGCTTGAACCTGTGGTCGGGGTCTATCGGCGTCAGCCTTCGTCTGCACCCCAACCCCAACCCCACCCCCATGCCCACAGATGAAGTCAAGGTAGGTCTGATGCCGATGGCTCTTCCAGCCGAGCCATATGCCTGCCTACCGTGCTTGTCTCTTGAGCGGGTCGACATAGGGGTCTCCCACGGCGAGTGGCGTGATGACGGAGAAAAAGGCGTCCTTGGTGTTGCCCTTCTTGCCCTTCCCCACTAGGAAGCCCTTGAGCGCCGGCTGCTCCTCCTCTCCAGTGCCCTCGCGTCTCGCCTCTGCCAGCCAGAGATGAAGCGACGACAGGATTGCACTTCGCGTGTGTGTTCTTTGCTGGCTGGCTGGCTGACTTCTGACGACTTGTCTTGGGGCATAGGAGTCGTCGCCACAGCAGTTGGGGGCCTGAAGGACGGGACGGGCAGAGAGAGGGAGGCGCATTATTCTCTTTCTCATGCGCTTTGATGACTGGCTGGCTGACCGTGTAGGAGAAGTAGCCGTGTCTTGGCCTGCGTGTGCATCATGCGTCAATCAAAGAGGGAGGCAGGCAAAGACGATGCCCCCTCCCCGTTTGCGTGGGTTTGTGGGATTGTCTGATTGTGTGATTGTGTGTTTGTGTCTGGCGGCCTTGCTTACACCATGGATGTGGTGTACACATCTTCGATGTGTTTCTGCATCTTGGCGGCATTCTTGGCCTGCCGCTCCTCAGGGGACGACGGCATGATGGACAAATGGATGGATGGATGGCTTCCTCACCAAAGGGAAGAATCTGTAGACAAGCACACGGCAGTCCGGCCCGCATTATCTTTCCAACCTGCTCGTGGCCTCCTCTCCCCTCTCGTGCCGTCGTTACCTCAGGGCAGCCTCTCGGTTTCACCCTCTTCTGCCGGGCCTCTTCCTGTCGAGACCTTGGGATGGGTTGAGGGGCGAAGGGAAAAAGCACGTGGATGAGTCTGCGACAAGAGGCTCCAAGCCTTCAGGGCCCTGGAGTGCTGGATTTTCCCGTTCCTTCTGCGCTCGCCCCCTAGACTCTGATAATAAGCTCGCAAAATGCGGATCGCATTCGCGCTGAGGGAATCGAACATTCCGGTGGCGTGCTCAGTCTCCTGTCGATGTCCTGAGCCCGTCTGATCCATCCTGGCTGCGTCCAGATTGAGATTTCGACGTAGCCCTGCCGCCCAACCAACCTTGAGTAGTGGTTGGCGCCCATCTGTGTGCTCGGCCCTGCGTGCGTGGCCTAGAGGGTGACGATGGCAGCCGAGCCCGAGAAGTCGCTGCGTGTGTCTGACGCCAAGGGGTACCTGGCGCGGGTCAAGGAAATCTTTGAGCGCGACAAGGATGAGGTGCGCTACGGCAAGTTCCTGGAAATCATGAAGGACTTCAAAGAGCACAGGTGAGTCAGTGGGGCGAGTGAAATGAGATGAGATGCGCACCAAACACTGCACTCACTTGACACGTCCGTCTCTCACGCCCCGACCCATCGCCACACGTGCTTGTGTGCGTTGTGTGTGTGTGAATGCGTGATGCTTGTGGCAGGATTGACACCACCGGTGTGATTCTGCGTGTGTCGGATCTCTTCAAGGGGCAGGACGACCTCATCAGCGAGTTTAATCGCTTCCTCCCAAAGGAGCTGCAGACGGCCATCAACAAAGCCAAGGAGCAGAACGCTGCATCAGCATCAGCATCAGCATCGGCATCGTCCGTCCCGCCCGCTGCTGCAGCTGCTGCGGCCGCGGCGGCCGCGTCATCGGCGTCTGGAGCACCTGACGCGCAGGCGCGTCAGCAGGAGTTCCTGCGGCAGATGGAGGAGGAGGGTCAGGCCGCCAGCAGCGGCACCGGTGGCCTGGCGGGGAAGATTGTGCAGCGGAAGGTGAGTCAGTTGTCATGTCATGTGGGCGAAGCAGACACGCATCCATCGATCGAATCAATCGCATTGACCTGACTGACTCATTAATTGTGTGGCTACCTGGCCTGGCTGGGGGTAGGTTGGAGCGTCGCGTGAGGGGGCATCGGATCAGCAGCAGAGAGGGGCGGCCAAGGGCGCTGGGGTGAGGGAAGGAGCAATGCACACGCAAGATGCTGATTGTCATGCGGCCACATGGATAAGTCCATCTATCTGCGTGTGCATGTGTGTCATGTGTGTGTCTTCAGGAGCCTCGTGAGGTGGATTATGACCATGCCATCGACTATGTGAAGCGCGTCAAGGTCGTCAGCCAGCCACGGACAGCCGAGCTGGGTATGTATGTATGTGGGTGGGGTATGCGCCTATTTTTGTGTAGGTGGTTGCCCCTGAGGTGTATGACCGTTTCATCTACATCCTGCAAACCTACCAGCTGCAGCAGAAGTCCATCAGGGAGGTCTACACAGGTGGGTGGGTGGGTGGGTGGGGATGCCAAGAGGAATGGGTGGAGGGATGGACGGCTGATTGACTGATTGAGTGATCCATGATTGATCTCTATCTCTTAGAGGTGCGGAACTTGATGCGCCCCCACCCCCGGATGCTCGGAGAGTTCTGCCAGTTCCTGCCTGACTTCCAGGCGGTACGCACGCACACACCATGCCGTGGACACACAGCAGCAATGTCTGTCCATCCCATCCACGCGTCCTGTCACGCTTACCAGGTGCACAAGGAGGTGACAGCGCGCGAGGCGGAGCTGCGTGCCCAGGGCCACACGGCGTACAATCCCATGCTGCCCATGATGAGCGGAAAGGACGACGAAGACGCTATCAAAGGTCAGTCGGTCTGGGTGGACGGACGGACGACGCCTGTTGCGTTCGTTGCATTCAATGGCCCATGACATGTGTGTCAGGCCCGCCGATGACGCTCCCTTCAGTGGATGAGGAGGATGAAATGATGGGGGACCAGCCGCAGAGGAAGTCGTCAAGGGACAGACACAGACCGCCACCACTCAAGATCGGAGCCAAAAAGGTCAGTGAGTGAGGATGCACTCATGCGCACATGAATGGATGGATGGATGGCATCCGTGTCCATGTGTGTGTGTGTGTTCTCCGCAGGGTGGCGATGAGTTGGCGACTCCGTCAGAGATGGAACTGTCCATGGCACTCAAGGGCAGGCGGCTCATGGCCAAGAGGCAAGCACTCGAGTGCGTGCGTGCGTGAGCAGACCAGACAGACGATGGCAGGAACCAACAGGCCCAGGCCAACACCCACCCCCTTTCGTATGCGCCCCTTGAATGCGCGTGTGTGTGTGCAGTGGTGCTGTGCGTGATTTCGACGGGTATGACGCCGATGAGGAGGAGCAGGAGGAGTCCGAGGAGCGCATGGAGGTCGAACACAAAGCCATCGACATCAACGCATGTGGGTATCCACGCCACGCCCCGCCACACAAGCGTTCACAAGCATCTGTGTGTGTCTGTGTCTGTGTGTCGTTTGCTGTGTGCAGGTCTGTCTATGTCCCGGGGCGAGCGGCTGTTTTGGGAGGCTCTCAAGAACTGCATGGACGAGTGAGATGAGCACGCAACGCACAGATCAGATGCCTGAGTGCATCCATGCCATGCCATGGCGGGCCCTCCTCTGTCGTGCAGGCACCGCTACGCCTGTCTGGCCAAGCTGGTGAAGCTCTACGTCGTGGGCATCATCAGCGCACGCGAAATGCTCGACGTCTGCAAGAAGGTCATCGACTTCTCCGTTCTGTAAGCCAACACTTCCCCAATCTCACTCACACCACACCCACATCGCCCCGCATAAGCGTGTGCGTGATTGTGTATGTCATGTCAGTGGCTCGGATGTGTACCAGCATTTCCGGAAGATGATCGTGACTCGCGAGTCTGCGCGGCGGCGGCACTCGTACTTCTGCCTGTCGGTGTCCCAGATCGACACCAGTGCGGCCGCCAAGAGCGGCGACAGCTACAGGCTGCTGCCCAAGGACTTCCCCCAGATGGTACATACGCATCGCATCCCCGCCCCGCGTGTGTGTGATGGATGCGTGTGGATGGGATCGCGTATGTGGTGTGTGTGAGTGGTGTGTGCAGTACTGCAGCGGTCGTGATGCGCTGTGCAAGACGGTGCTGCAGGATTCGTGGATATCAATCCCACAGGTGAATTAATTCTCACATACATGACATGACGTCCACGCGCGAGGGAGATGAGATCCACAAGACGCATTCCTTCCTTCGTGCGCGTCGCGTCATTTTCAACACTCTCGCTTGCAGGGTTCGGAGGACTTCTCCTTCCGCCACATGCGGCGCAATGAGTACGAGGAGCAGATGTTCAAGACTGAGGACGAGCGCTTTGAGCTGGACATGATCATCGAACCAAACCAGTCAAGTCAGTCAGCCACCCAACACATGCAACCGATGGGTGGACGGATGGATGGATGGATGTGTCCATGGTTCCTCTGTGTGTGTGTGCCTGTCTGTCTGTCTGTCTGTCTGTTCAGCGATCAAGGTGTTGGAGCCGATCGCAGAGGAGCTCAGGCAGATGCCCCTCGCCGACCGCGACATGTACAAGCTGGAGAGAAACCCCTTCAACGACACGCACCTCAACGCCATCCGCCGCATCTACGGCGACCACGGTGTGGAGATCCTGCAGCTGCTGCGGCGCAACCCCAAGGGGACGGTGCCGGTCATCCTCAGCCGTCTTCGGCAGAAGCAGGAGGAGTGGACCGGCGCGAGGGCCAGGATGAACGAGGGCCAGTGGCGGGACGTCATGAAGAATAACTACTTCAAGAGCTTTGACCATAGATCTTTCTACTTTAGGCAACAGGTACGTAGGGAGGTACCTACCTCTGTCTGGGTGGCTGTCTGTCTGTCTGTCTGTCTTTCTGAGGCGTGGGAGTATGCGTGTCTCTCTGGTGTGCTTCGGTCTGTTCCTTTCGTTTAGGACAAGCGTCACACGAACGTCAAGGCGTTTCTGGCTGACGTACGGAAGCGGTATGCGCAGATCAGAGGCGCACCAACCGCCGAGGGAGACGAGGAGGAGGAAGGTGGGTAGACACGAACGAAACCCAACACAGACAGTATCACTCACGGTAGGTGTGATGGATGCGAATGCTCGATGGGCTGTGCCCACAGGTCACCATGGCGTGCCGATCGTCAAGAAGCACAAGGAGGATGAAGACGAAGAGGCGGAGGAGAACGGTACCTACGGACGCATTCACACCACATCACACCACATGTGTGTTGTGTTGCTGCAATCAATCAATGGTCGATGTCTGTCTGTGTCTGTGTCTGTGTGCGACCAGAGGAGATCGACCAGGCCATATCGATGACCTTCTCCCCCAAGAGCGAGATGAAGAAGAGGCGCGACTCCCTCACACACCTGCCACTCACTGAGGTAGGTACACGCCTGCCTGTCTTGAGTGAAGTGAAGCACATACCTTTTCAAGGACGGACGATCGTGGCCATCGGTAAATGTGGCCGTGCGTGGGTCCCCGTCGGCTTGTTTGTTTGTTTGTGTGCAGGCTGACGAGCAGCAGGCCACACAGGCCAAGGAAACTGAGGTGGGCGGGGCGGGCGACAGACAATTCCTCTGTGTAGTGAGTGGATGGTCGGACTGACTCATGTTGTGTCTATCTATTGTCTGTCTCAGTATCCGCCAGAGTTCACCTTCAACATGCCCATAATGCAGCTGCACGAGGACGTGCTGGACATGATGCTGTACGTCGCGGAGAAACAGTCATACAGCACCACTGGAATGAAGGTCCGTGCACGCCGGTGCCTGCCTGTGAAATGTGGGTGCATTGGACACTGCACACGCTCACCCCCCCCACTCTCTATATTCTGCCAGATACGGTATTACCTCAACTCCGTTGTGCGCGACTTCATCCTGCCTGACAGAGGGGTACAGCACCCACCCACACAGACAGACAGACACCCACTGCTTCAAGCGCACGCATCGATTACCTACCGTTTGTCTGTCTGTGTCTGTCTGTGCCCCCCAGCTGCAACCAGATCAGATGAGGTCCCGCCGCGGCGCCCCCCCAGTGGGAACCCGCTTCAAGGTCCCCAAATACGAGAGGAGGGACCGAGACGAAGACGAGTCCATGCAGCCCTCTCAACAATCGCAGCAGGGTCAGTCAGTGGACCTGACGACCCCTCCCCTTACCAAACACGTATGTATGTCGTCCATCTGTGTGTGTGTGTGTGTGTGTGATATCCTTCAGGCGAGAGCCAGGCCGGTGGTGGGACGTTCCCCGGCCCGTCGCCCGCTGTGCGTGTGACCCCGCCGGAGGGTGGTGCTGCGGCGCCAGTGGCAGCACGAGCAGCAGCAGCAGCAGCTGCTGCTGCAGCTGCAGCCTCTGCCGGTGGTGGTGGGAGGAGGGGTGACGAGGTGGAGGTCGTCATCAGCAACAATGACGAGGTCAGCACGGAGGATGGCTGGGGCATGGCATGGCATGGACGGATACTGACTCATAGTGTGATGCGTTGTTGTGTACGCTGTGTGGTCGGATGGATGGATGGATGTGGTGCAGCCGACTCCTGGGCCTGGCCCTGCGCCCAAGAGGCCACCACAGCAGCAAATACAGGTCGATTCCTGCCTCTGCGTGGATACGCCCACACACACAGGTGTTTATCATACCTGCCTGCCTGTGTCTGTGGTGTGGTCTTTCTCTCTCTCAGCCCGCTCCCTCCGCCGCTCTCCAGGCTCCTCCAGCAGATGGGTACGTAAGCATCGCATCTGCATCGTGGAAACAGCGAGCGACATGTTGTTTCTCTGTCTGTTGTGCATGCATATGTTTCAGTTTGCGGACTCAGACGCGGTCGGACGGCTCGGTGCCCACACCGCCAGAAGAGAAAGAGGTACACACGTGGGCTGGGTGGGAGGGTGGGAGGGAGGGGTAGGTATCCCTGCGATGGATGCATCCTGTTTACTTTGTGTGTGTGTGTGTGTGTGTGTGGGCGTGTCGGTCAGGTGGCCCCGAAGCTGGTACCGCTGGACAGCAGGTACGGCCTGAAGCACCTGTGGGGATACCAGAGCCACACCAAACCCACACGCGCATTCGGTCAGCACCCTCCCCCCCTAATGAGCCCTTCACCTATGTGTCCATCCATCCATCCATCCGTCTGCTCTCTCTCGTCGCGTGCGTGCAGCCCCGCCACCTCCCTCCGGCGCGCCCCCATCCAGCGCCGTCAGCGGGCCCTTCAAGCTGCATCGGGAAGACAATGGCGGACAACTGCCTGCTGCTGCTGGTGCTGCGTCCTCGGCGTCTAGTGGCGGTGGTGGTGTGGGTGTTGATGAGTGTCTGCCCCTGGAGGAGCGGTGGCTTATGAGCGGGGAGAGCTTCTACTGCCTTATGCGGTTCTACCAGATTCTCTACGAGCGGCTCAAGAAGGTGCGCTGCGGTCCCTCCCTCTGCTCTGTGTGCGGTTGGGTGCGGTGTGCGGTGTATGGGAGGGGACGGACACAGAGGCGTGTGTGTGTGTGTGTGCATGTGTGTGTGCAGGCGAAGGCTGTGATGGAGACGCACGTAGACGACGCCGCGGCCCGACGAATGAAGTTCTCGCCCACGCCGTCTGAGACAGAGGAGGTGGGTGGGGTGCGTGTCGCGACGGACGCTTCCATACGTGTGATGCGATGAATGCCATTCATGTCGTCATGTGATGTGATGCATTCATGTGGAACATGTCGTCATGTGTGTGGTTGTGTCCACCACAGAAGTTGGACTACGATTGGGTCAAGAACACGGTGTATGCGCTCATCAACAACGAGATCGACATCAGTGCATACGAAGATGACCTCAGGCACACGAATACACTCACACACACATTGGATTGGCCTATAGCTATGTGTGGAGACAGACGAGACAGGCATTTGCATTGCTACGTCCCCATTGGCATGTGATGTGATGTGGCGTATCTCTCTCTGGGTATGGTGTGCTATGCTGTGCAGGAAGGCGATGGGCACAGAGGCCTACAGCCTCTTCACCGTGGACAAACTGCTCTCGCAGGTGAGTGAAACGGATACAGACATGTGAGGAACCTGTGTGTGTATGGCGCTGTGTCTGTGTCTGTGTGCATTCAGATGGTGAAGCTGCTGCAGGGGATGGTGAACGACCCCAACACACTGAGGATCGCATCGCTCTATCTCGCTTACAGAGACAGTAAGTATGCCATTCTCCTTCCCCCATCTCCCAATACACACCCATGTGTGTGTGTGTGTCTGGCCCGTCACCCGTCAGTTCTGACGACCCGCGCGGCGGTCGACTCCTATGAGAAGGAGTGCAGAACCATCGTCGGGTGAGCCCTGCTGTGCTGCAACTTCCGTCATAATCCAGCGATACATCCACCACACATCCAGCTGTGTATGTCTTGTATGTGTTGTGTGTCTCCTCTCCTCTCTGTCAGTGATGCCATGCACTTCCGCATTCGGTGGGACCTGAGGAGCCGCGAGCTGACCATCAGGATGGTCACACCTGCGGACTACTGGCACACCACACCACCAGAGGTGGGTGCGTTGGGAAGCATTGCAATCGTCGGGGAGAGGAGGCCCATCAATTTGTTGTGTGGATTTGGTGTTGTGGTGTGTAGGATCGTCCGGTGATGACAGCGTGTGACGGCGAGGTGCTCAAGTACTGCCTGAGCTACATGGGGCCATACACGCTCGTCTCCGACCACATCAACTTCGCCACACAAATACCCGACCCCAGACATGCAGTAAGGTCCACAGACAGAGAGAGAGAGCCTGGCCTGCCCTGACTGACACCCATATTATCTCCCTCCCTCCCTGCAGACGGCTGCAATAGTGCCGTATGTGGGAGAGCTTGCTGGCGACAGGCCTGTGCGCTTCCTCAGAAGGTCAGCCTGTCCACAATGGGCCAATGGGACCATGGCCCATATCCATTGCACTTAGTTGCTCGTTGGCTGGTGTAGGAATCGTCGCCGCGTGCGTCGTCGTGACGGCGACTACCCGCCCCGTTCGGACAGCGCCGTCCCGCCCGCCAAGGAGAGGCGGCACCACTACAAAGACGCCAACATCGCCATGCACAACGGACTCTGCTGCAGGGTAACACACATCACATTCATTGATGAGCAATGTAATGCTCCACCCATCTGTGTGTGCATGTTGGAATGGTTTGGTCTGTTTTGGTTTGGTATGGCATAAAGATGCCGCTGCATTCCTACCGGCTGGCGTATGTGCCCAACACCCACGACGTGCTCCTCAGACCCAGACATCGCAAGCGAGCCGTAAGCCGACCGACCCGACACACACGCCGTCCCGTCCACCTTGGAAGCCACCCTCCCTGTTCATGTCATGTGTGGGGGCAGGCGGAGCGCGGTGCGGCGGGTGAGGCGAAGAGGCTGCGGCGGTTCCAGCACTGGCTGAGCATGCGGCTGGTCGACGCGGAGAGGCAGCCGTTCCTCAGACCTATAGTGCCCATCAAGGAGGAGGCCGACACCACCATGAGAGACTGACTGAGATGGTGCATCGTCCCTTTCGGGCCAGTCTTCCCCTCCCTCTTCGCTCCCTTGTCTGTCTGTCTGTCTGTGTAACTGATGGAGGGGCCAACCAATCAACCAGTCAGTGTGTGCGGTGGGGGCCACGTGGGATTGGGAATGTGTACACACCAATGTGTCACGTACACACACGGGGGCGGGAAGGACATTTTTTTGACGTGACGTCCGGGCGGCTGGAGGGATGGTTGGTTGGTTGGTCTGGTGGCTGCGTACTATCTAAGGGGATAATTCGATGGATGCCTGGATGGGGGTGGGGGGGTGTCTGTCTGTCTGTCTGTCTGACTTCCTTCCCTAGTATCTTGTACACAGCCAGCAAGCAAGCCTTTCAATCAATGGAATGGCCGTCTGCTGCTATCGCTCGCTGCCGCCTGCCGCACAACCCGACTCACCCACCCACCCACCCCACCCATGCGATCCGTGTGTGTGACGTCATGTGGGTCTGTCTTGTGGGGTGTCAGGTGCTGTCAGGTACGTGGGCGCCTACTATTCTATTCCAACAGAATCCTGATTTGACGAGTGACAACTGACTGACTCGCTTCTCCTGCCTGCCTGCCTGCCTGCCTGCCTGCGTGCTCGACTCTCCCGTAAGTACTTACACGAGTACGTACGATTCGACAATTCGTTGATTGATATCGCTCCACTACTATAGAGAGAGTCGTGTAAGTCATATCAGCTGACCGTTTGTGTACCGACCCCATCCCATCCCTCACTCACCCTCACCCACTCACACCCATCCTGGATACCCCACCCGCACACCCACACTCGATCATGCCATGCCATGCAGCCTGGCCTGATCCATGGATGTGATCCCTCGCTCAGTCAGTCAGTCAGTCGGTCAGTCCTTCTCCCGTATGTCTCCACTCTTGTCTGTCTGTCTCTTGTGTGTCCGTCCGGTCCGGTCTATTCTACAGCCATCCAAGATGCACGAACCGACCGACACTTCTCCTCTCTCTTCTCCCTCCTGTCTCATTCGCTTATTCACTTGGATCACTCACTGACAGGGCCTGCTGCCGTCTCCCTCTCCCCCTCCCCCTCCACCTCCCCATGTGGGTGCGTGCTGGCTCATCGGCGAGAGGGCAGACACGGAGCTCTCCTCACGCCGCCCACCAGCTCCAACCACAGCATCGCCATGACCGGCAGCAGCACACTCGCCTTGAAACCAGCGGTGGCTCAAGGCAGCTTGGGCTGATGAACAGATGACGCACATACGGTGGGTGGGTGTGGTATTTATTGGTTGTGTCGCCTCGCCCCGCCCACCTGATGGGCATCTGCGGTGTGTGGGGACGGCAAGGAGGGACTGCACGAGGTCGGACGCATCGGGGAAACGCGCCATCACGTCAGGACGGAAGACAGGACCCTGAGAGAGAGAGTGGGAGAGAGACATATGCGTGGGCTTACCTACAGGGTCCACCCCCACCCTGGCAGGCACATACCTTCTTTACCACCTCCAGGCAGTCCTGGAAAGTTCCATCGTTGCACTGCGACCTGCATCGCATCCACACGCACAGCCAACTGACTGACTGGGCTTAATTATGCTCCTAGGTCGGTGTCCCCTTGTCTGTCTTTCTCGCGTACTTACAGGTCAAAGGGGAAGTGGCCGTCCATCAAGATGTACCTGCAGTGACCAGGGACGAAGGAAAGAAGCCACACAGGAATGTGATGTGTGTATGCAGGGAGGGCTTTTGGTCCTGTGTGCTGGCTGGCTGTCTGGCTGCCCACAGAATGACGCCACACTGCCAGAGGTCTGTCTGGACAGAATAGCGGCCGCGAAACGCCTCAGGCGCCTGCACACACACACACACACACGCGCACACACAGAGCAAATCCCTCCTAACTGTGCCCACATACCCCAGCCATCTCACTGCCGACTTACGTTGTATTCCTTTGTGCCGACGATCTGCACGTGTCCGCGGTGTATTGGTGTGGGCGGCTCCCGTCTGTCGAGCAGGAGGGCCAGGTCGAAGTCGATGAGCACCACGCGCCCGTCGGCTGTCGGGCGCGCGTCGTAGATGATGTTGTCCAACTTAATCTACCGGTAGGACACACAGATGTAGCAAAAACACTCGTATCTATGTCGCTATGTGTGTGTGTTGCCGTATACATCTCGGTGAACGACCTGAGAGCAGGAAGGACCGAAGGAGACACACAGTGGCTTGGCTGTGTCTCTGTGTGTCTGTGCCGTGTGGTGTAAGCGTGAATGCGTTCGTGCGCTGCGAGCGCACGTTGTGTCTGTGTAGGTGGTCAACTGCTCGTAGCAGCTGGCACATGATATTCCGCACATGCGATTCAGGAATCGTAGACGGCGTGAACTGCAACACAAACTCAACCTGAACACGCAGAGCACACACACGTGACGCCCTCCCACAGCACACACACATTGGACTGTCCACTCGGCCCATCCGACCAGGTCGGTGCCGCTGCACTTCTCCATGACGGCGTGGAAGGCCTGGCCGTTCTCGTACACGCCGTGCAGCTGCACCACGTTGGGGTGCGGCGCCCTGCCAAGCCGCTCGTATATCATGCGAAAGTACGACTGGTCAACGATGGAACTGACGCAATCCCACACACACACGCAAACACACGCACCGTCCGTCACAGGATGCCTGCCTTGCTTGTGTCTTGCTGTCTCACTGACTGACATGAGGCGGCTCTTGGCCACGACCTTGACCGCCAGCTCTGGAGCGTCCGATGCGTCAAGAGGGGTCGCGGCGTGCACTGCGGCCATGCTGACAAGCATGACGATAGACAATTAATTGGGGGCCTGCCTGCCATGTCCGTTTGGTGTCGTCATGGTGGACGCTTACAATCCCTTGCCGATTTTGCCCTTCAGGCGGTAGCGGGACTCGATGCAGTCGATCTGCTGGATGCGGAACGACGGCACACGCTGATCGAAGCGATCACGATCACGACTCGACAACAAACTCACCACAGACGCACCCTCTACAAACACACACACACACAGAGAGAGAGAGAGAGAATACACACTCAGCTTTCTCCCTTCCTACCTACCTACCCTGGCCCACAGAGAGGCGCCCCATCTGCATGGCGAACCCCCTGCTCCTCGCCACGTCAAACCCCACCCCCATCCCCGCCGTCCGCCTCTCGCCCTGACACGCATGGGAGATCCCCCCAGCCGACCCGAAAAAGCGATGAGCCCCCTGGCCCCACGACCCGCCGGGCAGCACGATGCCGCCATGCATATGCACATGCGGGGGGAACGCGAAAGCGGCATAGCCATGCTGGCTCGGTGAGGTGGTCTGTGATGGCGATGATGGTCCAGCCCCGCTGGCAGCCCCTGGCAGTCCCCACTGCTGCAGCTGCCCCGGTGCCAGCTGGTGTTGTCCAGGATGCCTCTCAGGCCTCTCGGGCTTGTGCTGGTGGTCCTCGGATGGCAGCGATACGTCAGAGTCGAAGGACGCGCAGTCTCTCGCATCGCCGGGCGGCTGCCGAAGGTACGGGTGCGCATGTGGGCGGGGGTGGAAGCTTATCGGCTCTCGAGGTTGCGGTGGGTGACCGTGGCCTCTGTGCCCATTGCGGCGGCCGTGCGGGTGGGGTTTGCGCTGCCGCTTCTTCTTGCTGGGCTGCTGCAGCTCCGTATCGCCCTCCTCGGTCGGGCTGAGCGCTCTTTTGCCGTCGAAATGGGCTGAATCATCCTCGCGAGGGTTCTGCATGGCCGTATGTCAGATGTATAGAGGAAGAGCAGGGCTATCTGGGATCATGGGAAAGGCGTCCGGTGCCGCTAGGTTGGCTTGAAAGGGGGGCCAATCGGCATGGAGAAAAGTGAAAAAGAATCGGTCAACGAACGAAGGGGGGGAGGTGGGGCAACGAACTAGGGAAATGCGAACACGCAGGCCGGGGTATCGCACAACGACTCGCCCTCGTAAATTTCGAATGCGTCGGCTTCGACAGTCGACACTTACATCTAGTGCCTGCATGCACTCATGGATCTTCCATCATGTGACCACAAAAGTCGATCACGGTGCCAACACTACCACCCTCTCAGACCCATCCCTCCCTTCCATCGGTATACATATCATAATTATCCGGTGTGTATATTTGTCTACATCCCGTTCTGCCCGTCCGCCCCATGCCCCTCCTCCGCTTCTGCCCCCTGCACATACGCAAAGGCAGCAAACAAAATACGATGGTGTGCACAGGCGACCGTCTGCCTGCACCACACACTGACCTCTGCGTCGGTGGTGTGCGTCCGGATCCCGTCGGCCTCCCCTGCTGCAGGGGGCGATGCATGCGCGTGTGTCGGCTGCTCTGCCCCGATGCGGTGGATGGGAGGATGGCCGACGTACTGGCTGAGCAGCCCTCGACTCAGCACTCCCCGCATCAACTGCAGGGAGGGAGCAAAGAAGCGGAGACACTTGCGTGCTACCTACCGGGAGTGGAGTGTGTGTACGCTGGTTGGTTACCAGGGGGCTGTTTCGCGCAACAGCCGCAGTATTGTATGTGTGTGATGGCTGCAGCAGGCCGGTGCTGGCGGACGGTGTGGGTCCACGCGGCAACGGCGGAGGGTAGCAGCTCTTGTGTTGCTGCTGCTGCTGCTGGTGGGGCTGCTGGTGGGGCTGCTGCTGCTGCTGTTGGTATTGGTATTGGTTCTCGGCCCCGCTGCCATCCCCACCGTGCCCCAGTGGCACTGGCAGGGTGTCAATGGGCGACTGTGCGAGAGATGTCACGGGTGAGACCACCGTCCCACCCTCCTGGCTGGCCTTGCGGATCCGAATCGACTCGAGACGCTGGAAATATGCCGCCTCCTGCACATCCATCGGGAGAGACACACACAGAGAGAAAGGGTGTGGTGTGTGGGGAGGGGAGGACGGGTGGGATGGGATGGGTGTGTGGGAATGGGAAGGGGCGGCACCTCACCTGTCGGGTGAGGTCATCTAGTTCCTCAAGGGTGAGGTTCTCCAACTCCTCAATGGGCACCTGGTGGACAGCACAGCACATACATAGGATTGAAATGAATGCATCAGTCAGTCAGTCAGTCAGTCAGTCAACACACAAATCGTAAGTATGTCTGTGTTTGTGTGTATGTCGGCGCTCTCTCTGTCTTGTTTTGTCTTCTTGCCTTTTCCCCCGTCGGTGTCTGCCTGCCGAGACCAGACATAGAGCGGACACGCCCCACGCCCACCACACCATCTGCACACAAGCAGATACATACGCAGCCAGGCACACCCACACCGGCACATGTGCATCAGTCAGTAGGCACGTGTCGTATGCACCACTTCATGTCCGTGTCGTACCGTCCTTCCGTGCAGGAGCGGGAGCAGCCTTGAGCGAGCGGTTGCGGGCGCGGCCGGTCGGGAGACCCTCTGGGTCAAAGCGACAGCCGCATGATCATGAACACACGTATGTATTCTGTGTCTCGTCACATGCCACTGACCAGGCCGTTTGGGTGGCGGACCCCTGCTGCTGCTGGCGATCGAGCCCCCCTCGCCGCAACGGGAAGACGTCGTCGACATCTGACCTCAACAGAACACGCCATGCACCACACATGGCCACACATCCCATCACACATGCACATCACACCCATTCCCCCCTCCAGACGAGACGCCCACCCACCCCACCCGTGTGAGGGATCGTGCGCTCTGGACGCTCTGCAGCTCCTGCTCGGTCTCACGCTGGTGCGCCTGCGAATTCTGCAACCATGCACGCACGGCAAACAAGAAGGGCAAAAAAGGTACGACAACGACTCATGGTCGGTCAATATTGGACATACCCATGCCACACCCCCCACACCCACCGACCTGTAGCCTTTCGATCCAGAGCAGCTCCTCCGCCTCGGCGTTGCGAATGACCTGAGATAAACCGCTGCACACACAAGTGGAGCATTTCAGGAGGGCATGGTCGCAGAGGGAGTACTTTTGGCTCTCTCCCTTGCTCTTTTACATCATTTCGTCGTGCAGCTGGTGGCACTTGGTCGTGTTCTCGAGGCGCTTCTCGGTGTCACGCACCTCCTGATATACACACAACACAGGCAGGACAAGACAACACAAGGCAGGCGGCGTTCCTCCCGTTTTTGTTTCCCAATTTGTGTGTGTGTGTGTGTGTGTACCTTACCCTTTTCTGGCTGTTCTCCAGGCGTTTGGCCTCGTGCTGGCACTTGATGGTGTAGATACCTGCGGCACACAGACAGAACACAATACGCACACATGGAATGTGCGGTGCGCACGAGGCATTCGTCCATCCATCCGTCCATCCGTCCGTCCACGAGTCCACGAGTGCTTACGGTTAGCGTTGAGCATCTGCTGGTACTTCTTGACCTCGTCCATCTGGCTCGCCAAACGCTGCGCGGAACAAGAAACCCATGAACCATATATACACACACCACAGATTGCATGAGTTCGTCCCTCCCTCCTTTGTGATAGTGCGTGCCTTAGTTTCCTCCCGCAGCCGCGTCCCGTGCTCGATACGATCCATCATAGCAGCGTGCCTTTTCTCCTGCACGCACAAGTAAATCGACGGGAAATCATGTGTGCCAAGGCGGCCCTTGATCCCTCTCGTCTGTGTATGTGTGTGTGTGTGTGTGTGTGCAGTTGGCTCGCTCACATATATGCGGGCGTGCAGCTGCTGTCGGTCCATCAGCGCCTTCTGCCGACGACGCGCCTCGTTCTCGGCCTTCTCATCCAAACGCTGACACATGCATGGCACACACACGATGGATGGAAGACCACCACACGCACGCACACACTCCCACACAGACATACATAGATGCATGGATTTTGGTGCGATGGATGGAGTGGCGTGCATACGATACGCACCATCTGGTGCTCCTGGATCTTGGTGTCTCTGACGCTGGCGGTCTCCGTGAACGAACCCACCCGCTTGGTGTTCTCATTAGCCTTACGATTGGCCTTCTCGTCAGCAGCCTGATCGCACACACACAAAATTCCACAACGCAACACATGCAGCACAGAATTGGGCATGAGCCGTCAGAAACCGGCATCATGGTTTGCTGATATTTGCTGACCTTGAGCCGGTTGATGCGGTTGACGATGCACTGGAACCTGTCGGCCATGAGTTTCCTCTGCTTACCCAGCCGGTTCACCTCCAACACGCTACCCTGCCGCCCCGCACCCGCCACGGACGACTCCGCCGTGGCGCCCTCATGCTCGTATGCACCCTCACCCTCCTCGTAGGCGTATGCATCCACTACACCCTCCTGCTGCTGATGCTGATGCTGATGCATCCCGACCACTCCCTCTCCCTCCCCAGGCTGCGAATCGAGCATCTGCAGATACCGCTGGTAGTGCTGAGGCGTCATGCGCTGATGGAGGGGCGGCAAGTCGGTGGTGCCCTTGGGCTGCCCAGAAGGCTCCTCCGCAGACATGGTATGGTGAGATCTGCGGGGAGAAGGCCAGAAAAGGCCGAAAAGCCTTACAAAAAGACCGCCCCCGATCAACACGATTTACAGGGCGACACGGGATGGTCTTCCTGCTGATTCTGGCGCCTTTTGTGGCCATTGCCGTGGCCAAAGGTGGCCCTCTCTCGGTACGTATACGTATCACTGCCAAGAACACGTTCTGGCCATTGGCTGCATTGCAGCTTACGACTGCTACAAGGCGGAGGACAAGGGCGTCAGCTACCGCGGCCACCACGACCACACCCTCAGCGGACGAGCATGCCAAAAGGTGCGCTGCAATGGCATTATAATGCAATGTGTTGATGACGATGATCTATCATGACATTCAGTGGACCGAGGCGGTTCCGCACCAGATCCCCGAGCAGATGAGCACCGCATCGGAGTCGGGTGTGGGCAACCATGCTTTCTGCCGCAACCCTGATCCCTCCGCCCACGACAGGCCCTGGTGCCATACCGTCGACCCCGACACGCCCACGGAGGACTGCGACGTTCCCATCTGCAAAGGTGGCAGGGAGGGAGGGAGACAGATAGTGCAGTACGGTGTTGTTTTGTTTGGATCGGCCAGACACGTCAGACACGTACAGTGAGGACGCGGAGGGGACCAAGGCGTACATGGGGCACACAGTCGACTGCAACTGCGGATCGGACAAAACCGGTAGGTACGCCACTGAATGCATTCGTCAGGGGAAAACACGGAGAGGCGCCCTCACTGACATGTCTCCTCCCTCTGTGCTGCGTGCTGTGTGCATGCTCCAGGTGCTGGCCCGTGGTCAGGCGTCTTGACGCAGATGCGGCGAAAGCGCCATGCCAAAGGCAGCAGAGGGCTCCAGGTAGGTACACATGCACACGCTCACACCATCACACCATCATGAATTGCGTGCCGTGGAATGCCTTCATGTGTGTTGGCAGGCGGGAGACGGAGGAGACGATTGCGACTGCATAGACTGACTAGTCAGTCAACGTGGCCAAGCCGGCTGGCAGTCCCTTCCTCCCTCTATCCACCTGTCTAGCTAGCTTAATAGATGGCTCACACTAGGCACTGACTGGCTGCATGGCTGTCAGCAGAACAGACCAGACCGATGCGCGTGTTGTGTTGAGTGGTGACCTCTGACAATGGATCGATCGCACGTACACGCAGGCAGTAGAAGCGGTTGACGCAATACGCAAAGAGGAGGTCTTACGTACTTACTTAGCAGAAACAGGCGGACCATCCAGCACCCAGCCACCCAGGCACCCCGAGCCGCCGGCCATCTATGCGAGCGAGTGTGTGGAAAAATCGCGCAGCTCAACCAAACCACAGCAGGCAGGCCGCCAGGCACCACACACGGGCACAACACACACACACACACCCCATCCTTCATCCCTCGTCAGTCAGCCCTTTAGCAAGAAATGAGGGTGTACCCCGCCATGGATGCAGCAAATCAGGAAAACGCATGTGTGCGTCGCTGCACACAGACAAACAGCCAGTCTGGACGGGCAGACAGGGACCACACGAAATGCTCGCTCCACACAAGACAAATCAATGTCCACTTTCCATGCCGTCCCACTGTGTCTGACGGGCGCGGTTGCCACCGCCGATTGCCACGTAAGGGTGTCCGCCTGGTGCTCAGACAGACACTCTGGCGTTGGCTGAGGCGGATTGAACCACACTCATCAATCACACCAATGGGATGGATCGAAACGGCAGCAGCTAGTTATACTCATCTGTGCTATCTATGGTCTGGTATGGCACCTCAGGCTATGCCTGTTGTGAGGTCTTGAGTGCTTCGCGGAGGAGGCCCTCGTTGGCCGACGTGAGCGGCAGCAACGGCAGCCGGATGCCACCTGCATCACATCGATGACCCACACGGACGGTCAAACAAACCGTGTGTGTGGTGTAGGTGTGGTGTGCCTGTCGGCCGACGTCCGTCCGTCCGTCCGCACCTTTGATTTTGCCCATCTCTTTGAGGAGGAACTTGGAAGGGGTTGGGTTCGGCTCGCAGAACAGAGCCTGCAAGAAATGGAATGCCAGACGTCACGTCACCAGGCTTGGATGGGGTTGGCAGTGCAGTGCAGTGCTGCCAGTGAGGTGTCAATCAATCTCACCTACCTTGTGCAGCGGTGTCAGGAAGGAATCGAGCCTCTCTGCCTCTGTGAACTGCCCACACACACACACACACACACACCAAGCGATGGATCAACACCCGGACGGAGGAATGAAGGTAGCCTGCAGTCGTTCTTGTCATTTTGTGCCTACGTCCTTGGCGAGTCCGGCCTTGCACATTCGTGAGAAGAGCCCCGGCGCCACGTTGGCCGTCACCGATATCACACCGTCGCCTCCTGTAAGTAAGATAGACACATACACCCCCCACCCACAAAAAATGCAGACGTACGTCTGTCTACTCCCTTCCCGTTCTTGCCCTGTCACCCTGTTTGATCGACTCGCAGGCCAGCCCGTCCTCACCACTGCATTCATCCCATCCACATACACGTACACACACATACACATACAGACACATGCGTGTGTGCTTCCAGGCGGGGCGGGGCGGCTCACCTGTAGACGACGAAGTCGGGCCCGCATCTCTTGCGTATGTCGGCGAACCTCTCGATCTTCCCCGCCGCCTCCTTGGTCGCAATGATCGACCCCACCTTGGACAACCTGACGTGACCAACACACACGCAACTTAATTTGTGTCCATATGGCGTGTATGTTTGTTGTGGGTGTGGTTGTGGTCGTGTGTTGGTTGTGATGTGGCCCACTGACTGACTGACCTCTCGACAGTTTCAGGCAGCATGTCGCACCCCGTCCTCCCCGGGACGTTGTAGAGGATGATGGGCAGCTGGGGGACGGCCTTGGCCACAGTCGTGTAGTGCTGATAGAGGCCCTCCTGCGACACACAGACAGACAGACAGACAGACCCCCGAGCATGTGATGACGTCATGGGGAGTGCGTGTGCAGCTATATGATCTATCAGCGCATCAATCAATCAGCGTACAGTCAGTACCTGTGTTGGCTTGTTGTAGTATGGGGTCACTATGAGGGCTGCATCCGCACCAAGCTGATTGATGCACGCACACACGCATGCCATGCCATGCCATGCTATGCCATGTCCGTCTTTGCCAGCCAGTCCGTGTGTGTGTCTGCCCTGGCCTGTTTCTGTGACCCACCCCACCTCTAGAGCCCTCTTGGTCTTGGCAACCGTGGCGGCAGTCGAATTGGTGCCCGTCCCTGAAGCACACAACAAACAAACACCCCACCGGTGGGTGAACCATATCAGTCAATCAATCGGTGAGTCTGCTCTGCCTGTGTGTGGCTGGTCGTGTCTGTCGTGGTGAGCTGGTCCGACCTGCTATGACGGGTACCCTGCCCTTGGCGTGTGTGATGCAGGTGCCGACCACCCCCTCCCACTCGGCCCCATCCAATGTGGGCGACTCCCCTGTCGTACCAACCTGCACACATCGATACCGGCAGATGACAGAGAGTGCCATTCGTACCTACCGCCACGATGCCGTTGGTGCCCTCAGCGATGTGCCAATCAACCAGGCCCTTCAGGGCCTGACGAAAGAGAAATCAAAGAGCAACAAACACAGCAGGTCCGATCCGCCTTCCTTTGGCATCCAACCAACATGTGTGTGTGGCGTACAGTGGCATACAGAGTGAGTGCGTCTGTCTGTACCTCACCTCGTAGTCGACGGCTCCCTCTTCTGTCATGGGCGTCACCACCGCCACAATGGACCCCTTCAGCTTACTCATATCGAACCCACCCATACTGGCTGGAATCTGTCCAACCAACGTCCAAATGCCGTCACACACACAAGGGGCTTCGCTGAAACAGTCAACTTCAAAAATATTGGCCTTCGGGCTAAGCTCGCAGATGTGGTGCGAGCCGGAGGAAGGATCTGCATTCTGAAGTGATGGAGGCGTCAATCGGGTCCTTCTTCAGCAACAAGGCCATCATCGTGGTCGGTGCGAGCGCTTCCAGGGAGAAATTCGGCAACAAGGTAAGATTCCGCCCACAGCCTCGCCAGCGCATAGCATATCAACACATGCACCGTGTGTGTTCTCCTCTCTGTGCAGGTGCTGCGCGCCCTCAAGTCGACCTTCGTTGACGGGGCTCCCCATAATGCCGCCTACAAGGACCGCTCCATCAGACTTCTCGCAGTGAACCCCAAAGAGACCGTCATAGAGGCCATCACGACGCTGCCCACGGTGAAGGAGGCCGTCCAGGTGTTGCAGACCGAGGGCATTGCAGCCGACTCGACTGGCCTGTCCATCATCACGCCGCCCGCGGCGACATCGGGTGTGATTGGTGATGGTTTGTCGCTGGGGGTGCGGCAGTTCTGGTGCCAGCCTGGGGCTGAGAGCGCCGAGGCTAAGGAGAGGGTGGAGGGTGCTGCGGGGGCCACGTTGATTGCTGGCGGGCCATGTGTGTTGGTGGAGCTGGGTTTCCATGACGACGAGTGACTGACTGTGTGGGTGTGGTGTGCAAGTGAGTAGTTTGTGTGTGTTCAATGTGAAGCGCTTGGTATTCATGACTTATGGTGTATGGTGGTGATTCTTCTTCTGTTAAGACCATTAGCTGTCGTGCATTCACATGTTTGTATGGTACATGATGTCGCCCACTCACTCGCGCACACGTGTCCATCCATCCATCTGTCGTCTTCCTCCCATCCCAACTCTGCCCTTCTGCTTCGTGAATTGATGTGCGCGGTTGTCACCGCCGATTGCCACGTCAGGGTGCCCGCCTGGTGCTCAGACAGACGCTCCTGAAGTGGCAGTGAACCATGGCAACCACACTCATCTAGCACGAAACAAATGAGCACGTTCTCTCAGCACAAAGGTTTACTCATACGCACACACACGCAGGTCGTCAAAAGCTGTTGGTCAAAACAGCAAAAAATGGCAGTAGGTTGGCGGCAGCCAGGGAGGGAGGGTGGATGGGCACATGAGGGAGAGAGGGAGGGAGGGAGGGAGGGATGCACAGGTAAGGCACACTCAGCTCAGAAGGTGGTCAGAGAGAAAGAGAGAGAGAGAGAGGCAGAGGCAAGTCAGGAGAACAAGACCAATATGAACACACAGCAGGCCGGGGGCGATGCATAGACGGGCAGCCATCTGTCCATCCATCCGCCGTCTCTTATCCATCGCTCATTTCCTGCCGATTCCTGCGGTGAGTGAGGGCAGGGCCATGTCAATGTCCATGGTGAAGTCGTAGTCGATGGTAGGCACGATGCTGCTGATGAACTTCAGAAACACAAACAACGCCAAATCGTGCCTGCAGATGGAAAGGCACACACAACCAGCCACACACACACACACACTCACTCACACAGACGGATGCACCGGGAAGTCGCGCGTGCCGTGACTGACCTTGGTGCCACGCCCTGCTCCACCCAGCTGTCGACCACCTTCTTCATCACCTGCGCGTGCCTGGTCGATGTCACAGACAGACAGACACAGATGCACTGCAGTGAGTGTGTCGCTTTGTTATGTTGCGCTGACTGACCTGCACGGGTGGATGGATGCGGTGGGGATGCCTGTGCAGGGGTGTGGGTCGACCGTGACGGTCTTGGTGGCGTACTGGGTCATCACGTCCTCAAAGATCTGCTCGGGCTTCAGAGGCACACCATTCTGACGCACACACACACACACACGAGAGAGAGAGAGAGAGAGGTGTTTCCCTACTCCTCTCATGCGGCTGTTTGTTTGGTCTCTGCCCGCACCGCACGCACCTCGTCATAGCCGAACAGCCACAGCCGGGGTGTCTGGTAGTATTTGTCATACGTCACCGTCAGATCATACGACCTCGTCCGGACGATGTCTGAACCAAACCAAACCAAAGCAAACCCGCCGAGCAACCCCATCGTCGGCTGGCGGCCTCTCTCTGTCCCCTCCTTGGCTCTCACCGGCGTCAGGGGCAGCGCAGACGAAGTACTTGCCCTGCCCGTCCATTGCTGCCGGGGCGCTCGATGGAGCGGCGCTCGCAGGGTCCTCCTGTACACCAAGACAGAGGAACAGGGCGATGAGTGTGCCTGCCTGCCTGCCTGCCTGCCTGCCAGTGCATCACTCCTTTCCATCGCACCTCTTTGACGAGGTTGTCGACATCCGCAAAGCTATCGAGGTCGGGAATGTCGTCCTGACACGACAGATGGATGGGCACATGAAAGGGTCGGGAGGGAGGGCGCGTGTGTATGTGCTTTACTTTGTTTTCGTTGATAAAGTTCTCCTGCACCACCAGCCCTGGGCCTGACGCTGACACATCCATCCATCCATCCATCCATCCACAGGGCCTCACTCATTTCTGCCTATCCGCCCATCCATCCACAGCGACGTACCCTTGTCCTTGTCCGCATCCTTAGCGTTGTCTTCGAGGGTCAGGTCCTTAATCTCGGGCACATCCTCCCCCACATCTCCACCCTTCTCGCCCGGCAGAAACCAATCCCTGTCGTGACCCTCCTGACCGACACACACACACAGCCCAATGCACGCATGGCATGCCGGTCTGTCTGTCTGCCTGCCTGCCTGTCTGTCTGCGCTGTTGCCTTCCACTCCACTGACCCCTTGTGTGAGGGTGGTGTCGAGGTCTTTGACCCTCGCCTTGCAGGGCACGTTCCGCGTGACCAGGTACTGCTTATTCGGCGGCAGCCACTTGACCTCTCGCTTCGCATCTGCGGGCTCCCTGCACACACAATCGACAATCATCCAAGAGAGAGGACCATACCATCTGCCATGCGAATCGAATGCTGCCCATGCCATGCGCACCACGTCCATGTGGGGAACTTGAACACGAGCTGGTCCCCCGCCTCAACGAACTCCTGCGGCGTCAGTATGCCCTTCTCGCGGAACTGGGTCTTGGTGGGCACTGGGGTGAAGGACGACACCACTGACCGATACAGATCGGCTATCTGATGAGCACTCTGCATCCCGGGTCAGACAGACACTAAACAGCGGCAGAGCACCAGCAGCAGCCGGGATGAGGGAACACCGATGTGCAGCCAACAGAGAGCGGCGCAATGCACGAGATCTCGGCCTGCAGGAGGCAAAGCGGCAGAACGCCTTTTCCTGCGAATGCGAGCTTCGCAAAAATCTGCGCGCTTAGCTTCCTGGATCCGTGACTGCACTTCTCTAATCCCATCCTCCTACTGCTCTGGCCCCTGACACTTCTCGCGACTCCCCTTACGTCAAACCACTGACGCCGGCTGACCGGTGGCATCGTCACACCAGGCCATTGAGGGGCACTCGCTGACGCCATCTAGCCATCGCAGCCGTGTGACAGAATGCGCTTTTACTTCCTCCGACACGGCCAGTCCAAGGTACGCAGACAAGCAAGGCAATGGGAGCACAGGTGGGACGGCAGGGAACCTTTCTGGGTCGTGTGTGTCCATGTGTGCAGAACAACGCGTCGTACCTGGACGACAGCAAGATCTTCAAGGGCCGAGTGCCTGATCCCTCCATGACCGACCTCGGCTGGGAGCAAGTTCGGGTCGCCGGCAAGTACCTCAGGCGGCACAACGAGTCCGGCAAGACCAGGGCGGAGGACAGAATCGTCAAGGTCTTCGTCTCACCTATGGTATGTCAAGCACAGCGAGACGCGCGTGTCGCTGGATGCATCTGTCTGTCTGTTCGTCTGTCTGTCTGTCTGTGTGTGTGGTGTCTTGTCTTGCGTGGTGATATATCAGACCCGTGCACTGCAGACGGCCCAGGTGTTGCATGAGGAGCTGGGCGTGCCGGTTGAGTGTGTGGCCAACCTCCACGAGCAGGGCGGCCTCTTCCTCGGAGAACGGAACCAGGTGTGTTGTGTGTCGGCGATGCGATAGGATCCATTCCTGCTTCCGTCATCACTTATCCATTCCATCATGTGTCTGTCATGTGTATGTGGGTGGACTTACCTGTCTGTCTGTCAGGTTGCCGATTTTCTGTCTCCCCCCGACGGCAAGAGCGACAAGCCCTCGCCGGCCGACGCCTCCGCCCCCATAGTGCGAGGCGCCACCCGCAGCCAGCTGCAGAGGACATTCCCATTCGCAACCTTCCCTGCTGAGATCACAGAACAAGGGTAACTAACTGCAATATATGTGCACGTCCAAGGCGCCGACCACTGTCTGTCACCATGTGGGGGTGTGTTTACATGCAGTTGGTGGCGTGGAGGGTTTGAGACGTTCAACCAGGCTGTGATGCGCGCGAGGCTCGTCGCACGGTGCGTGGCTGTGGGCGACAGGAGGGATGCCGGAACAATTGCGGAATGAACATACATCTGTGTGTGTTTGTGTTGGTGTGTGTATGTTCAGGTGGATGTGGTCACTGGTTGAGTCCAACGAAACGGGGGCATGCGTCTTCGTGACGCACGGCATCTTCCAAGACCTGCTCGGTGACTGACACACCATACATACCAGCCAGCCACACACCACACCCATGCATGAGTTGACCGTCTCTCCGTTGTCTCTCCTTCCCTCCCTTCCTCCCTCAGTGAAGCTTCTGCTCGGTCTGTCCCTCTCCCCCCCGTCGAGCACCCACCTCAACGGCAGCCTCCCGCCCCCATTCCCCTCCTCATGCCTCCCGCAGCCCTTCCCAGAGTCAGGCGACCCACGCGCCTCGCATCTACTCTGCTCAAACGTCGGCCTCTCACTCCTCGACCTCAAGGTCATCCCCCGCCCATCCACCGACGACGACGGATTCGCCGTGGCGAGCATGCCGTCGTCGCTGCCCCGGTGCGACTCGATGGCGATCAGTGAGGGCAAGGAGTCGACCAGCAGCAGCAGCCACACGAGCGAGAGGGAGGCGTGCGCGAGCCCCATAACGGAGAGCGGGGAGGGGGAGGGCGGCGGGATGTCGCCGGTGCTGGTCAAGCAGCAGGAGATGATCCGTGCGGTGGGGGTGCTGCTGTGGAACTCTACTGAGTACCTGCCTCCCGAACTCAAGACGGGCCACTGCCTCGAGCCCTTTCGCATCAAAGTCTGACTGAGCCTGTAGGCGATGGAGTGGGGCAGGGCTGGGAGGGGAGGGTTTTCTTACCCTACTGGCTGGCGCAGTGGTGGCAGGATTGTGGGATGGATGGGATGGACGGGCTCACACAGGCACACAGGCATGATTTTGCTCTCATGACGGTGATGGTTTTGCTCATCGTTTTGTTCATGTGCGTGTGCATTGGATGCATGGGATGGTTGATGCGAGCACCCCTCAACCGTGTAAGCGCGACAGACAGAGTGACAGCGCGACTGTCTGACTGACTCAGTGAGTGATGATGTCAAATTCAACCGGGCGTGTGTGTGTTGACGCGGGGCGAGAGCGAAATATATATCTTCCGAAGGAGGATACAGATATGATGACAACCTGACTATGCACTGACTGCTTTGTGGGTGCTCTGTGTGTGTGTGCTCATGCGTGTGTGGCTGCTACATTGATTGGTATTGCTCATCGATGCTGCGTGCTCGTTGTCTTGTCTTGTGTTGTGTTGCCTTGTGTTATGTTGTGTTGTCTTGTGTTGCGTTGCCACACTAAGCTAACCTGTTTGTTTGTGTTGACCGATTGATTGCTAACCTGTCCGTTGCCACCTGGTACCTGATGCATGGATGGATGGATGGACTGATTGAGCGAGTGAGTTTGCTCATGCCTGGCTGGCTAACCTGACCGACACACAGACAGACAGATACACGAGAATTTTTCTCTTGCCTTTGCCATGATGGCCATGTCCGCTTCTTGCCTCCTTACTGCCTCTGTCTTGCCTTGACCGCTGAAATTTTGGTGACCTTTTGCCGCCATGTCCACCCATCCAATGCGCACAGTCATGTTTCCTTCGCTGTGAGTGCTGAGAAGTGGTTGGGGTGGAGGGTGTTCCTTTTTCTTCATGTGTGTATGTCTACATGTGTACGTGTGTACGTGTGTGTGTCTGTGTATGTGTATATATACATGTGTATCTGTGTGTGTGGAGTGAGGGCGAGCGAGTGAATGAGTGACAAGTGGGGCAGCACACACAAGTGCCTCACTCGAGTGAGGGCGCAAGTGACCTACCTACCTACCTGCCTGCCTGCCTGTTCTCGTGAACAGCAGCACGGACAACAGCACGACACGCATGCCTATTTTCTGCATGCGCTGCTGCTGCTGCTGCTGCTGGCTACGCACACCTCTCTGTGTGTGAATGGATGGATGCTTATCCGCATGTGTGTCTGAATGCACGACACACACGTTGATGGCGATATGGACCGGGCTACGAGATGAGTGTTTTTCATGTTTTGGACGCACCTGGGGAGGGGAAGGGAGAGAAGAGGGAGAGAGTGGGGGTGGGGTCGGGACGCTTGTTTTCACACAAGTTTTCATACCTAGTGAGTGATTCAACCCAGCACAAGCGAACTGTCTAGTGGGGAGGGCTGGGCTGGGCTGGGCTGGGCTGGGTGGCCGTCTCTGTCTGTCTGGCTGTCCGTCTTTTTCCAAGAGTATACACGCGCGTGCACACGACACACTGTCCTGCTGATGTGGTGCCTTCATACAAACAGACATACTGCTTGCTTACACCGGAGGGTTGCGCACCACCCTGTTCCCCTCTTGCCTCTCTCTCATCCATGTGACTGACAGACACATTGCACACGAGTTTCCTACGCCCTCGATCTGATCCATCAGCACCATCAGCAATCGAGACTATTTTTCTTTCTTCCCTTCAATGTCCACCTTACCTCGCCATGCTCGCCTTGTCTGCCTGCCTGCCTGCCTGTCCGTCTGTCTGCCTGTATGGCCGCCCCTCCCCACCTCGTTGTGAAGCTCCCGTGACTGTCGCGTGTCGATGCCTCCCTGCCTCCCTCGTGTGTCTGCCTGCCTATACTTGTACTTTGTCGGTCTCCCTACCTCTGTGTCGCAGTTAACCTACATGGATGGATGGATGGACGTCTGTCGGCTTTTTCTGTCGCTACCTGCCTACCTACGCTGCCTCTATCAATGATCGATTGCATGGGATGGATGTGTGTGATTGTGTAGACTATCTGACTCACTCGCTCAGACTGACCGGCCCACACTGTGCACACTGCCTCAACTAACTCAACACGCGTACAAACAACTTTCTCCTGTGCGTCCCGCCTGTCCGAATGTCTGGCTGCCTGGCTGGGTTTAAGCGCGTCTATCTGTCTGTCTGTCTGTCTGTCCGTCTGTATGTCGTCCGGAAGCCTGCCTGCCTCCCTCTCTGGCTGTCGTCCCATGCCGATCTAATCCCCACACGTCGCTGGTTCATCATTTTTCTTTCCCGCCCGCCCGCCCGCCCGCCTGCCTGCCTGCGTGTTGGTTTGATTTTCGTGACGTGGCGCATGGCCGGCATGGCCTACACGTCCGGGTGATGCTGACGCAGACATTCCCAAACACATTCACACATGGATGGACGGATGGACAGATGGATGCATTGTTCCGATTGGGTGGCTCGCGTGTCGCTGTCTCTTTGGCGAGCGGATACGTGTTTCTCGGCCACCTGGATGGTCTGAACCCTCCGGTGATGCAGCCGGAGGATTCGGTCGGTCCCGATGGTCAGGTGGCGCATGTATGCCGTGAGCTGAAGACACGACAGAAGAGCCGATGCATGCTTGGTCTTGGGGGGAAACGATTGGGAATGGGACGTAGAGAGGTACTGACAGAGAAGGCAGACGGGTTGAGCATAAAGGCTTCTTGGATGAGTGACACTGACCGGCAGATAGGATGGGACTGATGTGACAGGGAAACTGATTGAATCATTCATTCATCAGCAAAGACACATCCATCCGTCAGGGTCGTGCTGCTGTTGTGTAGTGGGTGGTCTCGCGTGCAGAGGTCCACATCCACATACATCGGCCTTCTATACAGACACTCATTTCAACTCCCATCCATGTCCTCCGTCACGTCAGTCAGTCAAGTCACAGCTACAGCTACGCTACATCTGAGGTATTCTCCTCTTCCTGATGTAGTTGGACGCCAGCTCCTCCCCGGCTATATCGACCACCACCTTCTCAAGCCACCGGTGCTCACGACGGTCACGCGCCTCCTGCAGACCAGACCAGACACACAGTCAGACAGAGACACGTACTTACATGTGAGAGGGAATGCCGAGGGAGGGGCTTCTGCCCACCTTTCTGTGTTCAAAGACGGTCTCGTCCATCTTGCGCATGGCCTCCTTGATGCGCTCCTTCCTGCTCGCACACACAGGACAAACAAACATGTGGTGGCGTCCGTGTTCCACGTCACGTGGCACTCACTGTGCTTGTGAGCAGTTCATGCATACATCACGACTTACTTGAATTCCCGGATGTACCACTTCTTGGGCCCGAGTGGCTGTCTGTCGTGGTAGTTGAGCGTCCCCTCGTAGAACCGCTTGTCCCACATCCACGGCAAACCTTATATATCGTGACGCACACACACAAGCAAAGGAGCCGTGTCAACGAATACGCCTGTCTGCTCATCAGCCAGCCGTGCGTTCCTTCGCCCAGACAGCCCAGCCCGCCCACCGTTGATCTGGTACTGCTTCTTGACGTCTGCCTGGTACCGACCGGACAGCCTGCGTGGGCAATGAATGCATCACAGCAGCGATCGATGAGTGACACCCTCGCTTCAAAACACTGTATCTGTCCCTCTGATTGCATCTTCCATCCGCGTACTTGGGTGGGTGCCACTCGCCCAGTTCGTCCTTGTAGGGCATGAAGTCCCGCGGGATGTCGTAGCGCCGCAAACTGCCCCTCACATGACACTTGCGAGGATCCCACTTGTCCCAATTCCTGTCAGACAACCAACAACGACCAAAAAGCAGCAGACAATGAATGCAGTGAGCCGCCCGGTGTGGTTGCCACACCACACCCATCAAATCAAGCATCCGTCCACACCTACCTAGAGGGCCATATGTCGAGGTGGTAGTGTTGGTTCTTGTTGAGCTCCAGGTAGGGGTTGAATGTGCTGTGGATGCGGATGCCGTCTATCATGTTCTCCTGGTACTCCCGACGGGGCGTCCCGCGACACTCAGACATGTAACGCGGCTTCTTCCGCTGCTTCAGCAACTCAAAACGAGACTCCCAAGGCAGATCACGCACAGCACGGTCCTGCAGGTCAGCGAGCACCACACACAAAGCACCCAGTGGTATGTGCAGATCTACCTTGTCTTGGAAGACCAGCGTGATCGTGTGTGTTTCGTACCACTGCGCCAGTGGTGGTGGCGGATGTGGGCGGCAGCAGCTCCACAGGATGGTTGGTCTTCTGCTTCGGCACCCTGAAGCCCCAATAGGACCGACCAGAGAGGCACACTCCCGGTGATGCAAACAGCGACTCTGTGCTCCGCCGGCTGCCGGCAGAGAGAGCCGCATCGCTGCTGATGCGAAGCATCTCCCTTGTTTCTTCTTCCTTCTCACGTCGCCTAGGGTGCTCCCTGAAACCGGTGCCTCGAGAATAGGCTCGCAAATGGCGAGAGGTTGTTGTCGGGCTGTCACGTGCGCGTGGTGTTAAGAGGAGTTGGTCTTCAAGAAAGAAGATGCGACGATTCTTTTTATTCTCGAGGCTGGTGTTCGTGACGGCTCTGCTGGTCTTCCTGTCGGCAGCTGAGGGCCGTCTGGTGATCCTGCCAGGGCCAGATGACTCCCTGGACCGGTGTGACACCAAGCTGGCCCCGTACTCCCCTTCTGTGCCCGTGGAAGGGCTGAGAGGGATAGTGCAGTACTTCCCGAAGCTGTGCGCCTTCAACTCGACTGTGCCTGAAGCGATAGACGAGGCGAAGCGTGTGTGGCTGTTCGACACCTGCAGCGACCTCCACATATGGTCGATAATCCAGGTCGGCAACAGCAAGGCGGACGCTTTGGTGTTCACTGGCAGCAACTTCACGGCGAGGCGGGTGGACCGGCGGGACGTCAAGGTGCCCGTCCTCTCCATATCCGGCAAAGTGCCCAGCGAGATCAAGCAACGCATCGCAGAGGACAACCAGGCAAGCCATGCCACTGCACACGCACTCACACAAAGGGGAGCCCCACACAAGTGGACAGGTGTGTGTGTGTATGTGTGTGTGTGTTGGATTGGCAGGTTGAGGTGCTGATCGACCCGCACCGAGCGGACTGGTTCAACTGCGAGGAGTTTGAGTCGCTTGAGCTGGTGTACGCCATCCTGGCGCCGTGCTGGCTGTGTGTGTCGATTCTGTGGTCGCTCAACACCTACAAGCGGCCGCACGTGAGCGTCAACCACCTGCACCGGTTCATGACGGTCGCCCCGGTCATCAAGACGGGCGTGTCGATGGCGGGCTTCCTCATGTTCGTCCAGTGCCGCAACACACAGCTGCAGGACAGAGCCACCACGGTACGCAGAGGGTGCAAGATAGCCGTGGCTGGATGGATGGATCGGTGTGTGTGGCGTGTTTGGTGTGTTTGGTGTGTGTCAGTATTTCGCCATGTGTTACCTGTGGCTGAGCACCATGTATGTGACGGTATTTTTCACCGTGGTGCTGCTGCTGTCCAAGGGGTGGATGCTCACACGGGAGGTCTTCTCCAGGAAGGAGTCAATGACCGTCGCCATACTGGTCGGTCGGTACGCAGCACTGCACCGAGGCAGCAGAGCAGTGGTGTCGGGGTCGTGTCGATGGGTCATTGTCCTTTTTGTTCTCTGTCGTTTGCTGTGTGCAGGTAGGGTTAGTTTACGTGGTTCAGTCTGCCAACCAGCTGAACCCCACTTTATTGATGCCCGCCCTTCTGCTGCTCTACGGCGTCCTCGCCGTCATCTCTATCAAGTCACCCACCCCACCGACTCGACTCGCACACCGACAGATAGCAGCGCCACCACGGTTCCTTCCTCCCTCCCTTGTTCGTTTGTGCTGCACAGGTCATGCCAGCGGAACCTGCACCATCTGCAACTGCGCCTCCAGTACGTCCGCATCAACAGGCTGGAGGTGTTCCAGCGGTCCCTCAAGCTCAAGCTGCTCATGTTCCGCGTCCTCAAATACACGCTGGCGGTCTTCTTCCTCACCGTGTTCGTCAGCCGGTGCATCCTGCAGACGCTGCTGGGCCTCTGGGCGACCGGCTATGTGGTGCTGGCGGTGCTGGACTTCTGTGTGTGGCTGGTGCTGGCCGTCACCTTCCGCGCGAGGCCGCCCATTCTCTACTGGGACCTCATCCAGCGGCAGGAGCCATCCAACCACGTCATACCCATGTACCACGCCATGCAAGACCCCGACAACAGCAGCGGGGCCGGCACTCCTTGCCGACACACGCCTACCGCACAGCCGGTGGCAACACCGGCTATTTCTGAGGGCGAGCCGCCTGTTGTCGTGGTGCTCAACCCCACTCAGTCTGAGTACGAGAGGCAACGAGGAAAGGACGACCACCAGCCATGTGGCACCCCTAGCAGCGGCGGCGGCGAGGCGGCCTCGCCGATGTCGCCCGACCCGTGGCACCCTCTGTCCCATGTGGTTCTCGGCACACCATGTGGCAGGCCGCCTGCACATCATGCGCACGGAGGAGGGGAGAGGGAGAGCGGTGCGTGGGACGCGCTTAGTGGCGGGGGGCTGTCGCCGAGTTCCGTGTCGCGGCCTCTGCTGGAGCCGTCAGAAAGGGACAGGGACGACGGGCAGGATAACGGAGTTGCCGACCACAGCGGTCACCAAAGGCGGTGGTGATATAGACATGGGTGGGATGCCAGGGTAGGTAGAGCTTTGGGAGTCTTGTGAGTCGTCGTATGGTAGGTATGGTTGCGAGGGAGAAAGGACCGACCGACCGGCGTGTTTTTGTGTGGAGGTGGTGGTGTGTGTCTGACTGCGGCCGTCTGTATGTCTGTATGTCTGTATGTATGTGGATACATACATACGGTGAGTGCGTGGGTGGCGTCGTGGGTGGGCGCAGCCAGCCACTGCGGCAGCCGCACAGACAGACAGGTGAGGTGTATTTGGAGTGGTCACACACAAACGGAGGAGGAGAATGCCATGTGTACGCCATGATTGAATGTGACACGCATGTAAAATTGTTGCTGAGTTCAGACTCGTTTGTCAATATGTCTCATCACATTGTAGCGCACTCAACCCATGCTGAGAGGTCGATCTGCCCAAAAGGAGAAACACTTTTTTTGAAACACCGCCCTTCGCGTTTCGCGAAGGTTTTTCGTGTTCGGGTCGGCGTGAAACAAACACAGAAAGGGTTCTAGCGCGTGCCCCCTCCCTGCGGCAGACCACGGCACACATTGAACAGCAAGACTCCTGCGAACGCACGGCGGCCGATTCATTGTCAGCGGCCAATCAGAAGGATACCAGTGGAGCACTCCCAGCACAGCCCTCGGCAAAACGAGAAGATCTCCTGCAGTTCTTGCCCGAAATGTGTCCGTCCTGCGTCATGGTGGCGAAAGAACAGCAGATTTCTCGGCAATGGAGCCGATTGACTCATCGCCGAGTGACGAGATGACGACGCTGGCTCGTCCGAGATGTGTGGCGCCCCGGGGACTCTCCCGCGCCTTCAGCACTTACACGCTGACCATCAAAACCACCCTCCCGGGCGACTTCTACGGCTTCCTGTACGGGTCCCCTCACCTGCTCACCGCGTCCGTGACGGGCCATTCACTGCGACCGGACGGCCATCTGGTGAAGGGCTCAGCGCTCAAAAAGGCCTGCGAAGCCGAAGAGTGGTACGGTCGAGAATGGCACGCGGAGTTATCTGGCAATCCGCCCGGCTTCCGCAAGTACCTGCTGTCGAAGGTGGAGGCCGGTGATCCGGTGGACGACGTGCGCGTCGGTAGCTCTTATTCGAATTATGGCTTTGCACATTCGCCCGCTTACCCATGGGATGAGACCTTTGCTAAGTAGGGGCAAGACCCATGGCGAGTGTGTAAGACGGCCAGGCTGGCGCATTCTTTCCGCGGCAAGTCATTCGGCCCGGCGCAGAGAATGCACGGCGCCACCATTCTGGTGGAGGCGTGGCTCTACCATAGGGGCGGGGACAAAGTTGGAGGGGCCTTTCTTGACGCGCTGAAGCCCTTCCAGCACCAGGTAGGTCGGCAACACACGGATGTGCACGCACTCGGAACATGCGTGTTTATACGATGGGTGGAGGTTATCTCTGTCTGTGTGTGTCTGTGTGCGTCTGTGTGCAGAACCTCGACACATCCCCCTGGACCGAGGGAGCCAACACGACCATCGAGTGGATCGCCTTCAAGCTCTGGGAAGACATGGCAGTGAAGTTTCGCCCGGAACGCCTGGAAGACGGAGCTGCAGAAACTCCGTCATCCTTCCCGGAAAACAAGAAACGCCTCAAGATCATCGTCCACGAGTCGGACATCGCGTCATGCTCATTCGAAGGCCCCACCGACCCCGCCCCGCCCCCCGCACACCTCGGCCACTTCTCTGTCACCGTGAGGGACCGGTGCATGAT